TGATTGAGTAGGCGAAAGGCAAATTGCATGACTGATTGACTATTATTGACTGCTTGGTTGATTGATTGTTTGATTGATTGATTGAATAGAACTTGGTCGTAAATCTCTTCTTGGTGCTAATGGTGCAGATGACATTGTACGTAAGCTAGAATTCCTAAACCAGAATTACGATGCAACAAAGGACAACCGAATGGATGTTGTGATATGTGGATGTGTGCTCAATCTAGCAACTGATGATGGTAAGAGGCAGTCTCAGTTATATACCTATATATACCTATTATTAACTATTTACTAGCAAGTATTTATTTATAATGAAAATAAATGCTAAAATTCAAGTATATATTTCAAGTATTTATTACTATTTATTCTTTATTATTCAATTACGATTACGTACCCATTGACAACATATTGATATATTAATATGTCAATGTCTGGTTGGCATTTTCTTATGTCAGCTATAAGCATAATATGAATATTTTCATTTCTCTATTTTGAAATCCTTGCAAAATTAAATGATTAAAGGAAAGCAAAGCTAAAAAAAAGCAAAACAGAAACAAGAGAATGTAACTACTAAAGATCAAAATGAACGTACCCAGTTTTTGTTAATAGCTGAAGAAGCACTTTTCATTAGTGTTAATTAAGAGGGGAATTGATGATAATGTCTTCAGTTGTTCTCATTTCCAGAGGAGCTTGCTGCAGATTTAGTYAACTGTGGAGCCATGCCTCATCTCTTGGGTCTTGCTCACAAGAGTATCCATAGCAACCCTGTTCTCTGTAGGATGGCTGTCTCTGCTATCTCGGAGMTAATGAATACAGGTAACATCAACARTTATCATATCACYATCCAATATCACCTAAGACTCACTGATTACCTTCATTAGCAGCAGCAGCATCAGGTTCTATATCATCACTGTTATTGTCATTATTATTTCTAAGGCATATAAATCATTGAAACGCATGGGTAACTTTTGAGGAGGGAGGAAATAAAATAGAAAGACTGGAGGAACTCTCAATTCCAGTAGGAGAAGCAAAGGGGATCTCTTGTTGCAAGTCATGTTGACTCTATCCTGCTTAGAAAAGGTGAAATCTTGCACCATATCACCAAATCCGCGTCGCCACTGAAAATGACTGTTGTAATAGACAAAAATCAAAACAAATGATTAAATTAACATTTATATTATGTTGTTACAGCTAATGGCAAGGAGAGTTTCAAGGAAAGTGGTGGACCTTCTGTGCTGTTAAGTGCATTAAAAGAAGACTATCGCGACGAGGAACTCTCCTACCTTCTTCTAGAGGCCCTCAACCCTTTAGTCATGAATGATGGTAACACATTTTTTTTTCAAGCGTTATTTAAAATATATATATATATAGACTGTAACTGGTTTTTTTTGCCTTGTTTTTTCCTATAGATATTATGAAGAAAGAGATGGTGAATGCAGGATGTACYGAAACCCTTGTTCACGTGATTGCCTCGTGCAAAGGCCGTGAGGAGGAAGAGAGTATGAAATATCGACTTGAAACAGCAGCAGATATGATAGTTACTATTCTTACTGATGGTGAGTTTGAATTTTCCCTTGAACAAACCGTGCCAGATAAATTCACCTTATGGGTAGCATGGGTGGCGGACGCTGCTAACGCATCGTCGTTAACCGCTGTGAGGCCAACGCGTCGGGTCGCTGGTTCGAGCCCTGCGGTCGCCACATGTGAAGTGAGTTTGTTTGATGTATTTTTTTTATTTTTTTATTTATTAATGATGTATTCATTCATATTTGAAATCCTCTTTGACGTTGTTAGATGAATGCATGAAGCGGTTGTTCCAGAATGGCGATGGGATCGTCGTTAAAGAATGTATCAAGTGGTTGTCGTCCAGAAACAAGCATTTAGAAATCTCTGGATCGCTTGCAGTAGGAAACTTTGGAAGATCAGGTAAAGATAAAACTGAATAAAGCAAAAACAAAAAACAAAACAAACAAACAAACAAAACAAAAAACAAAAAAACCGGACAAAGCCGGATTGCATGGATTCTTTTTGTTTCTGGTTTGGATGGATAATTTAGTTGACAACATTGTTTTTGCTGCAGATGACAATTGTATCAAGCTCGTACAGATGGGTGTCCATAAAGAACTATTGAATTTATTACCACTAGCCAAACAACGACCGGTAAGAATGCTAACATCATTCATAAACTATTTCATAAGCAGTTAGTTTGCACGCACGGCTTGTTTAAAATCATCTTACCTTCATTGGTAAGTTCAAAGTAGTCCTACCAATAAGTTTGATTATACATTGAATCCAAGTATCGCGACTAATTTGAATAACTATTTACTAGTGACTGACAAGCCTTTCATACATGTGAAAACGCTTTTATGTTTCCCCGTGCTAGTCGGTGAGAACAATAGTTATTCACATTGGTTGCCACATTTCGATGCAAATCGTGGGTAGAAATGGGGTGTTGGAAAAATGAAAATGGCCAGCGACTTACTTTTTTCAATGTGCTGTGACTTATGGGACGTTTTGGGGTGCTAGGATTATGTTCTCTTTAGTAACTTTCTTTTTGTCGTTACKCAAAGAATTATGGGATGAGTTGGGGTGCTGGAATTATGGCGTGGTCAGTGACATTCTCTTTGTCAGTGCGCAATGACTTATGGGATGAGTTGGGGTGCATACGGTGCATTAATATAACTGATTTCCACTTCAGGAGCCATTTAAACACGTACAGGCAATTTTTGGGGCCCTAAAAAATCTAGCTCTCCCGCGTAAGTACTAAGTGAAGATTCCAAACTGATAATTTGTCGTGGTAAAGTAGAGTGACTAACTAAAGTGTTATTCATTTGTCCATCCCGTAGTCGTCAACAAACCCATCCTTCTAAATGACAGCTGTCTGGAAGCGTGTCTTGCCCAGCTCTCGTCACAGTCACCACTGGTATTGACCAAAGTGTTGGGAACAATGTGTGCATTAATGGCGGTTCCGAGTAAGTACAGATATACTAGTTCAATAGTATATAGTATACTAGTTCACCTGATGTACCCTGTACGTTTGAAAAAAAAGATGTCGATCCCATAATCTAATTATGCTAATGCGCGGCTTTAAGCAGCCCAGATATGTTTCTTTGATGAATAGATAAACAGAGGTACGTGTATTGTGAGATACTTTAACCAATAGAGGTGTCTGTTAAATGGAGGTTTGTTTTACTGTTAATATAGGGGAAAAAAAGTTGAAGTGAAAGTTGAGACTCGYGTAGCTGTCTATTTAATGAAGGGTTCCGGTTGATAAGGGGTGACCGCTTTGAATAGAGGAACCACTGTATATAGAACATTGCATGGTGGTTGGATAGTATATATTGTATATCTTAAATACCAATATTCAGACTGCATTCATTTACTAGGTATAGAACTTTTGTTACGGACTGTAGCCYGTCATAAATGGTCTTTCTTTTTTACCCTCATGAAACACAAACTTTCTTCAATACCATATCCCTATATATTATTCCTTACGGTATTCTCGGCGTACGATGTGTTGTTACATCATTATATATGATCAAATGAACTACTTCGACGATACGGCGGCMATCTTGCCATGGGTCAAAACAAAACAAATACGACGRWAAATATATAGAGTTTSGTGTGTTTGTYTTTCTTTTATGGRTAAAGGTKATCAATRTGCCGTCTTATTTCATCTTTKGTTGTATTCYCTTGTGGGSAGCTGTTRATAACAAGCGTCATCATTACTGTAACAAAGCTGTATTTGCTCCCCTGKACGCCCCATAATGCCTTGCGATCCAAGATGGCCGCCCTATCGTCGAMGTAGCCCAATGACGCMMATAAAACMCTTACTTATAGCAAAACAGCCACAAATGGTTGCTTACTTTACAGCAAACATTTACTCATCGTCTGTGGAGTTCAACGTTCATTCAACATATACATATTACTAGATGTTTTTTTTTTAACATGTGATGTTCCAGCGTTGTCCTGTTCCTTTGCTCATTTCAGTCACATTTTAACTGATCAGGCTTACAGCAAACATTAAACGTTACTTTTCAGCTCATCATCCCATGGWATYCGGCTCGAGCCCTTCGTAAACCCGGTCAMAAACGGTCCCATTTGAAGAACACCTGAGTGAACATTATGGAATTCACATCTTTCATTTTCGTACTTTTGGCTTCAGTMATTTTCGACCATCTGCTTGATGTCATCAGATTAGGCGAGTTGTCATGGTTACATGAGGGTCATGTTTGTTAAGGTGCGACTCATACTTACATGGTTTACATGCGTGCATGAGATAAAGTCTGTAATTTCGATTAATCTTGCTTTCACATCTTCTTTTTCAAACATGAAAACATCATGAGATATTTGACATATTATGTATAATCATACCACACATTTGACAAAAACCAAAAATTGTTTCGCTCTTTTTCTTAAACTTCGTCGTATATTCATTATTCTCGATTATTCATGAAATTCCACAATAGAATGTTTTTAATTTCGCGACTTTTCGTTTTTGTCAGGCAAAGAAGAAACGGTCAAATCTGCAGCAGGTACGGATCACGTGACACCATTCGTTCAACAAAAATCTCACAGTGAAAGCCAATCGTACATTTAAAAACCTGTTTTTCGATACACCTTTTTCGATACACCTTTTTCGAATTCATAAAAACCCTTTCTGTTCCTTGATTACAGACTCATTCATTCAGGGTTAAATAGCCTCATTTCATGTTCAAAACATTCTCAAGTACCAACAGTAAAGTGAATGCGCACCTTCTAATTTCAAAAAGCATATGTGTTTATTAAAAAAATCCCAAAACTTCCTTGGTGATTCTTATCTTGTTTGCACTTCTTACCCCGTGCTTGTTTGGTATGGATGAGTGCGAGGCGCGGACTCCTGAGAGGTTTCCACCGTTTCACGAATAGATTCAGATMTACTCTTTTTCCACACTATGCTCTTTTTCCACACTTGCGCAAATGTTTTCTCGATGTCCACAAAATGGCCGTTMATGTTTAGTGCTCGGGTGTGCAGACGTGTTCTTGCCTTCTTCCAACAAAGCCGTATTCATATAAGAGATAAGATCAAATCGATTATAATCTCTCAGGACCCGATTTAGAGGGGAGGGGTGGGGTTACCCATGTAGCCACCACCTCTGTAAGTGAAATCCTGCCGTTTTGTCCTCAAATATGGTTATGGAAACTTTATTTTAACAGAGTGGCCCCTTCAGCTAAAAGCTGGTATCCAGAAGGGCCCTGTACATAACTATACAGATAATAATGATATCTCCAAAACTAAAAGTAGAATCGCAGACGTGAATGTACCGTTTGTTTGCATGTATGTTGATGAGTAAACATATTTGTGTATGAAATAGCAACTAATGACACCCAGTATCGAACATTTCATCAGATTTCTCAGGGGCGGAGGGGGTATTTTTCTGTACCCACCACCTAAATCAATAAAATCGGGGGTCCCTATTTGGGACTGCCAGTGTTTTGACCTTGTCCCTAACTAGTGCTCGTTTTATATACAGAGACTACAGCCAACAAGATTGTGAACACAAAGGGCCAGCTTGAAGTTCTGATTCGTTTGAGTAAAAGTACTGGCAACGAAGAGGTCAGAATTGAAAGCTGTAGACTTTTAGCTCTTATCGTCAAGTACGGAAGCTCTCAAGGTAAGAACCACTTAAAACTCTAACAATTTCTGGATTAATTACAGAGACTGCGCGTTCTTTTTGGTCCGGGATTTGAATCCCCGACCTCCCGCATACCAGTCCGATCAGGCTCAACCAACTGAGCCAACCAGCTATTGCTACCTGAGCCATGTTCTATCCAATATTAATTCCATTAAAACTGTATCATTTTTTGTTCCAGAAATCAGCCATAAGATGATAACCAGTGGTGGTTTACCACAAATTGCCGAGATCGTGACGTCATCCAGAYTCGTTGTTCAGAACGAGGCTCTTATTGCAATGACTATTCTTGTCTCGTTTGTCAAACGTGAGTAGTGATCTTGRCTATATATCTAGACATCCCCTAACGAAACTCCAGGTATTGCCTTCATGCCCTCTTAGACAATTTACTTGACATAACGCTCTTCTATTCGATGTAGTGGTAGCGTACTCGCCTCTCACCATAGGGGGCTTTGGTTTTATTCCTAGATCGATCTGTGAGTTAGTCGTGCCCCGACTTAGATCAGCCCAGAGGTTTTTTACAGGGTTCGATACGCGAGTTAGCCGTGCCCTGACTTAGATCAGCTCAGAGGTTGTCTTACGGGTTCAATAACATGGTTTTTGCCTGTGTGTGAGTTTTTTTGTTCTATTTTTTGAACCCGACAACGACATCTATCTTAAGATTTTTTTACGGGTTCTTTTTTATTGCAGCGGATTTTTACCCTAAACTTCGCGAGACCGGCCTTACACAAACTCTTATCAAACTCATCAAAGAAAGAAAGCTCAATCCCCAGTCATGTTATAATTCTTTGGCGTAYTTAGAAGCACTCTCGACCAAAGGTAGGTAACATGATCTGGTAACTTCTCCGCATCGGAATGAAAAAGGTTCAAAGGAAGTAGAAATACCACCTATTGAGAGTAACATGTGCTTGGCTTTTCAGGTGGTATGCGACTTCTCGACCAAAAAAACTAAAAACATATTACAAATAGATTACATATTTTCCCCTTCCACGCGACTTCTTGCTTCTACAGCTTACCTTCTTATATTCCAATGAAACGAAGCTATAAATAAGAGTTACCTGTGCTCGGCTTTTCAGCCGGGTTGCAGGAAGCCATGCATTGCTCGTTCTCCACCAAAAATTAAATATATATTCCAAATAAAGTTTATATTTTCCCGAATTACACTTCATAATCATCAATTTACTTCTTTTCAGACTATTTTGCAAGGGACCTTCAAGTGGCAGGTCTYCATCGTGTACTCGAGGATTTGGTCGATGATGAAAACGAAAATATAAAGAAACGTGCCCTCTTCATGGTGACGAGGCTCAAGGCAAAACAGCTGGAGGAAGATTAATAAGAAGAGGGATATGATTGATGTCAGATCTCTTATTGTTGCCATTAGAAAATATTACAATTGTGGGAGGGGGACCCACATGGCCTCGCCTCATCACACTGTGGGATTCCTATTATGGACTACAACTTGTACAGGCTCAGTTGGACCTAATCCGTGAAACAGTATTAGATCTATTTTGTTTTAAATATTACAAAATAGAGCAATTGTTGTAGTCAATCTATCGTTTTCTATTAACTGTTTCATCAGTGTTATTTAGTACAAACTAGTGCTAAATAGAATTCTATGGAGTGCATACCATATATCCTTGAAAAAGTCAACTAACAAAATTGTACAAATTAGTGTAAAGGTTTGTAGGTCCACGGTCTACTGAGGTCTACTGAACTTACTAAATTGTGCAAATTTGTTCCATTTTATTACAAAGTTTTTCATGGATATGCGGTATGCACGCGATCATATACTGTTCCACAGATACTCTAGTATAATCAAGGAAATGACCGATGGTCAGATATGGAACAACATTTCAATACTGACTTGGTATGTTCACAAGACCGATCTTCGTAATGAGAATAACATTTAACGACTCGAATAGAATACATTCTATAATAATTTATAGATAAAGGCTTGACTTCTTCAAAATTTAAAATTAAGTATTTTTAAAATAGTACAGACTGAAAAAGGTCATTAAAACTGCGTTCGCAAGAAAAGAATATTTCATTAAAGTTTGCCATAAATCATAATTTTGTTCACTCAAACTTCTTACTTGTTAATTGTATTTATCTGTAAATACATAGGAAAGCTGCATGGACGCCATTAAGAGACAAAAAATCCACATTTTTCAACAAGACAGTTGCCAGGTTGAGGGTCTGCTGTTTTCATATTTTAGGCAACGTATCTCAGTAGTATATGTACAATATGTATATTATAGATACTCATCAGACCCTACTACCACAACAATCCGCAAATAAACCTGTCCCCAAGTCTCTTGTGTTTGTGACAGTTTTCGAAAACCTATGGTACACTCTAGTTACGAGCTCTCTGTTGCTCAGGATTAGCCTGGCTTTTTTGTGTATTCATGCATTCCAGTGAAAGTCCGTGAAATTTTAAAACATTATTGTTTTACGTAATTCACTCTTGACTCAACCTTTTGTTTTTAAATATTTTGACGCTGGAATTAGGCTAACCCAGAGTAAATGCGTGCGCAACCAAGTGGCTGACAGCTTCCATGCAAGCAARCCCTATCAGTATTCGGCCTCATTTTCCTCATATCCATCTCCTTCATTTATTTCTTGTTCTTCCTCTTCATTATCCACAGCCGTTGATTTATAATTCGAGTCTACAATATCAGACACGTGCTGAATCTCTTCACTTTTAGCATCTTCATGGTTCTCAATCGCTTGCCCAACAGCGCTAACCTGTTGGCCACCGAGTGCTATCTGAGAGCTCATATCGTCCGCTAAATTCTGGGTGAGGTCGCTCAGATATGTCACGCCTTGACCACCTGGCATTAGGTGGCTGAGAGGAACGAACCTTGACGGATCCCAGTAGGAAGACCGACGAGGATTTCCAATTGCCACACCTTGAAAAGAATTATTCCATGAACCATGTTATTCAAAAGAGCCTTTAGGAGTTTAGGAGTCTGGCTTTGGCAGTAATCAATGTAATATTACTGAGACAGACGGATTTAAAACACTCTCTAATGCGTTTGTTGTACGTAGTTCAACGATTTTATAAAATGCATACAGTAAAYCTGTTAAAAGTAGATGAACTAAATAGTACTAAAAATACTATTAAACCCTTGGGTGTCTGTCATTCATTTAACACTAAATAGCTATTGGTACTTTTTCATGGATTTGGTGTGTACATGCAAAAACGCTAATTGTATTTCAATGGTCAATGATGCTAGTAAGATAAACCCACGAGTCCAACTTTACCCACTAAAAGGTAGAAATGTTTGATGYTTTGCAACCAGTAAGTGAAGAAAGTAATGGCATGGTATGCAATGAACCACTCAGTCATGTCGGCGGGTTGAAAGAGGTAGCGATGAAAACTCTAAATRTAACCATTGGAATGGGTGAAGTTAATGAGAATCTTCTAAAAAGGGATCGAAAAGTCCTAATAGCYGAGTCAGGATAAAAGAAAAAGAAAAAATCTCGACTGTTCAATGGAATCAACTGAGTTTGACCACTGATGTKCTCTGCTCAATTAACTGTTAACACTCACCTGTGACCCTAAAACCAAGAACATTTATACAAATCAGGGCAATGAACGTCAAGAGTTCCCTGTACATCTTTGCGCGGTCTCACATCCCTCACATCGTGATATTCTTACAATCTTTGGTATTTATAAAGTTTTCCCGACATACTTTTATATTCTCTGAAACAGGAGCAACCCTGTTTGATGACTGACGTTATCATATCACTTGCCACCTGTTGAATGTTCTGTTTTTCAATCGATGGAATTTCTTAACTTAGTTAATAATTGATAGTTAGCTCGATAGTACAGACTAACATCCCTTTCAAGTTATTATCTCTGGAGCATAAGAAAGAAACTTCAAAATAAGAGAAAAAAACAACAGTAAAGTGAGGAAGAAAGGAAAAAAATATTCTTGTTAATACGGTGACACTGTCTTATCTCTTATTTCCATTTCACTTCGTTGGCACATCAACAAAAAATATTAAATAATCTTTATTTGGAATATTAACTCTCAACAATAAAAAAATATTTTTTGATTTTGAAATACATAACTATATTATCGAACAATTAATTATAACTGAATRTTCGTTTTTATATTCAGTACTCTAATTGTTGGTCTTGTTGTATCCACAATATACCTATACTACTCATCTACCGGTACGCCCGAACATGCTATTTGGAGGTTTCATGTTGGCCATGATGTCATTATATGACAAAAAAATATTTTCTTTTCCAAGAAATCTATTTTCAATCTAAAACGTGACATTCTTTTCTTGTCCCACATTGTGGCTACGGCGAAACCCCTCTGTAATGTCTAAGTCGCACATCATAAGGTAATAGAAACATCGATTCATGCTTTGTTGTACTTGGAATCTTATTGAATTGAAGGGTATTGACCGAACCTCCCCCCCCCCGCCTGTCACTTAATCTCCCCTGCTAATACGCGCAGTCTTGATACTGTAATGGAACAAACAGAGTGACTAGGTTATAACTAATCTAAACTGACAAATGGATGATACATAATTATGTCCTGCATGGCAAAAAGCACTATTGCCTTTTCCCGAGCGTTAGAGAATTAGATCAATTGTTAAACACTTGTTAAGTTTAGGAATAATGGCATGGATTGATCGTGACACTTTACTCATCATACGCTCTTGGAAGACCCATGCAGTCATTTGAATAGAGCCATGTTTTTCCTACAACCAGGTGGTATTTACGCTGTCCATACTATAACAGATTACAGCAAGAACCGCTTGAGCTGTGTTCAGTTGGCATATACAATATGTGCCGGTTCTACTAAAGCTTTGATTTCTTCGATAAACTTTTCTTCATCGTTTTCTGATTGACTTTTGAAATATGCTTGATWGTGTGCTTGTAACTAGTAGACTCGGGTTTCGCCGCAGCAGGAGCAATGTACATGGACCTTTCCAGATTCTGGCGCCGTGAAAATGGACCATCRTTAAACCAGTTGGTCTGTGATCTTGAAGAYGGCTTGACTATCCTCCCTGTTGGCATAGCTTGCGATGCCTTTAAGATATTCCCCAAAATACCAATTGGTTTTCCATGTCCTTTCACCAGACCACCACCACCAAGAAAGGAAGATATCGTGTACTTGGAGGGACCACCAAATCCCATCATGTTCTTAGCATTCATTGACATTTTATTTATATCATCATTGAACTCGAAGTCAGAGATAGGCATCTTGTCATTCATCTTGTATCTTGGTCTCTCCTCGAACATCATGTCGTTTGACTTATCCTGTGATCGTTGGAACACTTCATTTCCGTTGCCAAKAGATGATGAGCCGGTGGGCATTGATAACATGGAACTGATAGACGTAGCATCTGAGTATGGCGACATTGCTGTTAAAAAAAGGAATTATGCAATAATGCTGGGTAGAGCTCAGATAAAAAAGAAAGAAATAATAACGCTAAAGAGAATAACAATGTTGAGTATATAAATTCAATGTCATTGTGATGGTACCCTGCGAGCAGAGGTTTTTTTCTGACCCTCCGTGAAGCTGGACGGAGGGTCAGAAATAAAAAAAACACTGCTCGCAGGGTATTGTGATGGTGTTACAGCGYTTCCCAATCACTCGAGCGAAATCGTACAATTTACCATCACAACAAAAAAGGGGGGTTTTTGCGTATGTCATGCAATCACGTTTCTATATTTTATACAAAAAAAACGTCCTTCGTTTTACGGGGGTAGCACTTATAATAGCCAATGGCTAACAAGCCTGTAGCAATTTGAATCGAAGTATTTTCATAATATTGTCGAAAAACACAAAGTTTACTCAAGGGCGCTTGCTTATGGAATGTCATGGAAACGCTTTCATTGACGTYCACTAGCCTACGCGCTCGCCATTGAGAAGCAATGGGCAAAGCATGGTTTTTCAGCCAGTTCTGAATAGTTTACCCATCACTAACATAAATGGACTAACTGTCTTACATACCTTGCTTAAACCCATCGTTACCAATCATCCAATTGCTATTGCCATTATAATTAGTATTAGTATTCTGCCTCTCTTGAGGGAACAATACGGGATCCTCGGGATAGATAGTCCTACTTAGGGTTTTACCCTTAGCTGGATCATAGAATTTTGGCCACTGTGAGGTCGACTGCATAAAATCTACTTGCTCGGGAGAAAGAGTATTGACTTCCATGTTACCAAACGCTTTTCCTTGTTTTAGTGCTCTGCTACCTTGGTGAAATTCAGGGCTGACGAGGCTTTGTAGCTTGAATTCCTCCTCATTGATTCTCATGGAGTCTTGGCCAAGCATTTCCTCTTTCTTGTGCAAAGCAGAGTGGTAGTGTTCATGTGTCGTTTTACTCTGTGATAACTGCTTTTTCTTGGGCTGTTTTGAATGAGCCGTATGAGCAGTGTGATCACGTTTTCCTATATGTGAAAGAACCAGAAATAAACGCGTTTCAACCTGTTTTATTTTCATTCTTTTTATGGGTTTTTCTTAAAACTCCTCAGGTTTTTATTTCCGTCCGTCAATCAAAAAATCCTTAATTCAACCTGCAAATCTCATGAAAGGTAGTCAAACTGACTAGCTTGCAGTCTGTGACTGTTAGGGTAGCAAAATAKTTTTAAAAAACACATTCATTGTCAATTAATCAATTTGATACAAAATTAACACCTTGGTAAGTCTAGTTCTTGTCCTCAATAAATCTAGGTTGAAAGACTCCCTGAGAACACTTGAATGACATACAAGCACGAAGCTCAACCTTCTTTCCGTATCTCCTTCACGACCTTATCCTTATCTATTATCCTGATTATAGTCCATACTTTACATTAGTCTTCATGCAACGCTAGGAAGGCGTATTGCTATTGCCCGACATATCAATGACAGTTAGTGAAAGTAAGACTAGAGAGTGATCGCATTCATCATCCAGTTGAGCATTATTAAGACCTTCATGATCTTGATCACATTTGAAGACGAAATATTTTAGATCGTGAGGAAAATCACTTGAACAGAAGAAAAATATGCGTGACTGCACACAAATGATACCACGATATCGACCAGTTGTGTATCTTAAACAACCCCAAAAATGTGGCTCTCCCTAGAAGTGTTTCTCAGTGTACCTTGGTCGCTGGGCATGGCGTAAATTGTCAGAATCACTGGCATCGAAAGAAAGATATATCGTTAATGGCTTGACAATTGCGCTTTTTAGATTACAGATTACTCGATCTGTCTTCACTCGATTTTTTTTTACATTATCAAAATCATCAACATATCATTAGCTAGATATTGGAAAATTAAACTATATTTAGGTGGAAATGCCTTTTTTTTCTCTTACAGCGTTTTTTGTAAAAAAAAAAACGTATTTTCAGACCAGTGTCAATGAGCTTAAACGGTGTGCAGTCAGATCATTTTCCTCGTTTCATTTGTATATTTAATGATAATATTGTGTTATAGTTCAATTTAATCTCTCTACTTACCATGGTACCGAGCCTCCGTACAGTAAACTGACAATCCAAAAATCAACAAAACAAACAGGTTGCAGTCCATTTCCCTGCCAGACAAAAACCGATGATATTTAGTCTGCCATATTTGTGCGCTTCGTTTTTTCTTATTCTCTGGTACCTTTACTGGTACACCGACAGGTTGCTACTTATAACTCAATGACGTCATAGCCAACCGACTTAACTTTTTTTCTTTGATTTTAAGTAAATATGATAATCCGCGAAGGAATGAGCACTAGTCCTTTGGGTTCGGTCCCAGTGTCATGGATTCGGAGTCAACCGCGAGGAATCGAAGTGTGCATATTGGGAAGGGACGCATGCGCAGTTTTTTGTCCACACTGGCTTGAATGTTATTGAATGAACTAAAATTAAAACTTAAAATTTTTGAATTGTTAAAAATTTTGGAATCTCGAGATCTGCACACAGGTATAACCATGACTCCAAAAAACCGACAAAAAAMCAGAATTATTTTCATAACCAGATGGATTTTGATTTTAGATAATAGTCATTGCGAATTTTTGACATACATTTTTGTTATATAAAGCCTGGTAATGTACTTTAGATTATCCATTGTTTTTTTTACAGTCACGTGACCACCGATGATCTCATCGCTATTTTTGAAGTTTTTTTCGTCGACAGTGAAAATCGTGTTTCTTTTCGTGCTGAGAATTTCTTTCAATATCAACAAAAGCAATGTGAGATTCGTAGCACAAGATGGCAGCAAGTAGGAGAAGGATGGTTATTCTTTGGCTTGGATTGGGTACCATTTTAGGTATGTAGGAAAACTGATTAGATTTAGAATTAAAACGGAATGCGTTATCTAGGTGATCGGTGAAAACCTGGAGTAGACACTCGAGATTCTTCGAGGATCACCAGCAGGTTGACGGTCCACTTGTTTACCAGCAGGACGTGGAAAAATTGAAATGAATTGCATCAGTTTGTTGATTTGGATCACTACATCAGTAAGTTAATATTTTTGCTGCAATTAATGACCAAAAACTATCAAATCAGATTTCTCAAACGTACTAGAATTATAGTATATTGATATCCTAATTATATCAGTTATACTTATGAAACAAATGTTTTGGTACAAAATCAAAGAAATGTCTATCACGTTTTTTTCACCAATGTCAACTATTCCAATACTTCACTAATAGACGGTGCATATAATTAGACATTTCTGTGTGTTCATGTTTGTAAATTGCATAAAAGCAATTTGTCATTCACGACTCAACGTAAAGCGCCTTTGATGATATCTATATAGAAAGGGCGCTATACAAATCATAAATCATTGAGTTTCTGAGAATTCTTTATGTAACTGAGTGGCTGATTTTGTTTCTATTTAGTTGCTGCCTGTAGAGGAAGTCCATTACAAAGACACCGAAGGATACTCAACGAACCAGGCGACATTCCCAACAAAGGAAATAGAACTCTACCGTACGACAAAAGACAGCAGATTATCTACCTACTGAACAAGGACAACGAGAGCAGCAAACGTGACAAGGAGCCAGGAAAAACCGTTGCCATGGAGAAGTATGCTAAGGAGCTCATCCCGGATGGTAGAGTTGTAATACCCAACGCCAACAAGTTGCTTGTTTCTGAAGATTTCCACAGTGGCAGGTATAAGGAGATAGCAGTCAATAAAGCAGATGGTCCTCCCAATGCTATCAACTCAGATAAGAATTTTGGCCAGACTGATAGGCAAGTCTCTTCTCCTCAGAAGCAACAGCAACAACAGCAGCAGCAGAACCATCAACAGCAGCAGCAAAAGCAGGTTAACAGTGCTGTTAAGAAATATGGCCAAGTTCAAATGGTTAATGAATCAAGAGCAGAGAAGCTTGTCAATAGAAACAACAGTGATCCTCAAGTGAATTTTAAAAGAACAGAAACTTACGATGTGGAATCTCACAATCAGAAACATTTGCCATTGACTCGGAACAGTGACATCAACATTATAAATGAAGAATCATCTTCTTTGAGAAAGAAAGACAGTTTTGTTAAACCAGTCGGAAGATTTTTTGATGGGGAACTTTTACCTCCTTCAAAACCAATTGAACCTAATGTTTTCGAAATAGGACAAGATGAAGTAGAAGACTCTCACAGATCTCATTTCAGAGGAGAATTAGGCCGACACTCAGGAATGCACAGAGAAATGTTTTTTCCTGAAGACAGGCCAATAAGACGATGGAGACACAGACATTCATACTATCATCATAGACCTGCACCAGTATTGATGGATCACCGGCCAAGTACGTACTACATGCCAATGTATGCTGGACGTTCGAATGTCCAGATGGCTCAATTTGCACCAATTCAAGATATTCATTCGGCCCCTCTTAGTGACCCTGGACAAGGACCGACAGAGGAGTACGGTAGACAGCCTGTTATGATGCAGTCTTTAGTACCAATGGTACCCTCTGCATCTGCTCAACCTGGAGTTCCACTTGTCCCATCACAACCTATGCTGCAGAGTCCCTTTGTACAACAGCCAGAGGATCGGTCGGGTCTTTATACTSTGCCTATGGCTACTGCTCCGCAACAACCACCGCAACGATTTATTTATCCTGTGTTCGCAGTACCAGCAGTGCAGCAACCACAACCACAGCTTGTACAACAGCCAGCTTTAGAACAAGGAACGAGACTTGATCATTTGGCTACTCACTGGACAGATGAACCTGGTCATCAAAGGAGTGAAGTCAGCGAAGAAGGTGAACCCAAGCCACGAGAATATGACGATGAAAAGAGTTACGATGACGATGGAAGGGATTCACGATACGACGAAGAACGATACCATGGATATAACGATTATGAAAGAATGAASGAAAGAAGATATCAGGATGATAGAGATAGAACTGGAGAAGAGGAAGAACGAGAGGCCGAGCGTGAACGTTTATATCGTGAACGTGAATATTACGAAAACAGTGAGCCTAGATACGACCAAGATACACGATATGTTGACAATGTAGAAGAAAACGCTAGTGTACGCAGCTCACCTCCATTGCCTGTTCCTACAGCTGCAGAAGAAACTCACGAAGACGGTGACGATGAAGAAGAAAACGAGTCCGAGGAAAATGAAGGTGCTTTGCAAGACTCGAGGGATGATCCTCCTCCTGCAGAAGAAAGACCACCTGAGGTAGAGAGAGACGAAGYCTCCCCTTTCTTGAACTATCATCACCGTGAGATGCAGTCTAGAGAACAACCTTCTGTTATCCGAATCCCGTCATTTTCAACATCACATAGAATGTATTCGCCGTTTGCTTATCCAGGAAGATTATCTGCAGATACATATTCGAGGGAACAAGTCCTTGGACCTTCAGTCCCGCTCAGAGAAAGAATTCTTCCGAGATTTATGAATACGGCTCCAAGGATGGCTYCTATTGAGTCACCAAATGGTGAAATATCTGAGATGTCTGCCTCAGAAGCAAGGTTCAGAGAAAGGATGCGAATGGAACTCCAAGCAAAGGACACTATTCCAAAAGGTTTTCATTCTGACCTTGATAGCCATGGATTTAAAAACGTTGTTATAAGGCTTAATGGGGAGCCACTAGAGAATGCTAGTGAGTTGAGAAGCAAGATCATCGACGGTAGAATCGTTCAAGGGAGAGGAAAGATCATCAAATCTAAGGGACCCATGCAAATTCGAGTGACTCATAAAGGAAAAGGAAGAAATCGCATCAAATTTATCGATATTACTTCACCTCAAAAATACAGCGTCACCGAGTCTAGGAGCAAAATTGGAAGAGCTCCTATCATGAATGGATCATCAAAACATAATCTGAAGAAAAGCCAGATACATAAAAAGAATGGCCATGCGTTTTCGACTTCTCATCATTTAAGGGTCAATGATGTTACGGCCACAACCAATTTAACTAGAAATACGAAAACATATGGAAATTAAAACAGACACAAAAACCGAGTAGAACTTGCTTTTAATAAAAAAGCAGCTTATCAAAGAATATATAATAACAAGCTTTAAAAACAAGTGAGACTTTAAAAGGAAGTAAGAAGAGTATCTCTCGGTAGAAAGCACAACGACCAGTGTTTCTTTATTAAGGGCCTTAATAAGGGATGCTTTTAAAATGTCATTAAGAGCTTTTAAACTGGGCGTGACATGTACCAGTTGTTGAAACTCAGTTGTGTAATGTTATAGTTAAGAAACCAATTTTCCCTCAGTCCAACTCATTGCAATTTAAACACCTACATGTACCCATGTAGTAGAACTGAAGTGAAGTGCAAAATGTTAGTATGCATACAAAGATATTCAGAAACTGAAATCATAAGCAATTCTAATAGGCACTTCGAAAAAGATGGAAACAGTGCTACGCTTTTTATAATCTTCAATTGTAAATATTATCATAAAAATTCCGTCGATGAAAGAATGACTGCAAACAGTGCCCATAATCTGTTACTGGTGAGAAAAGATTTTAAAAACATATTTGTTTTACTACATGTAAAACAAAGCAGCCAATTAGGTATATGCAGAACACATCTAGACTCTTAAGTTAAAAAGGAAAATAAAGACGTAAGTAATAACCCTGGAAAAATGTGGTTCTATACACATTGGGTTTGAACACAACTCTTTATAATAAACTATAATAATCATCATCTATGTTGTATTTTCTGTTTGGTTTAATGATTGTTTTTACTGGTTTTAAAGCAGTTGCCAATACAGAAGTGCTGGTCTGCCATCTTCGTTATCTCACAAGTAGAAGAAAAAATTCCCACCATTAAAAGGAATCATAGAAAGGTCTTGACAGTGGATATTTTATTGGTTAATTGTTTTTAATGTGATTTTCTATTCGCGACATTTTTTTTTTGTATTCATGCAAAGTTGTACACATGTGAGCAACATCTCGACAAATCTCCCCCTATCTAGACTTTACGTTCAAAGACTACTTAATTTAATCCCATGCATCTTCAATTCCAACTTGGCAACTTTTTCAATTCAGACCGTTTTCTTAAAGCATGGAAATCCATTCTTAAAGCTGTTATCTACGTACCAGTAGTAGGTAACAGAATAAACTAGCTTATATACTATATGCCAAAATAYCTAGTAGATCAGGTTGGTCAAAAAGGTGTGTCAGACAAACTCTTCCAGAGCCATTATTTTCTAGTCAAAACTCGTTAACCATGCGATAGATGGATGAGGTCACCCATATTATATGTCAAGTCTGTTGTACATTATTTAAACCGACGCAGTCATCCGTTAATCAATGGACTGACATTACCTGCCTCGACCAAGGTTTTCTTTTGTTTTGGCATTAAAACACACACAAAAAATTGTTTGCTTACCTTAATTGATACAAGTAAACACCAGGAAATTCAAAAAAAGAAATAATGATTTTTAAGAATTTACTTGACCGAAGTCTCAAGCTTCCATTTTAACACTAAAAATCCCGTACAACAATACCATCAGGCAGGACGATGGTGAGACGGAGAACAATGAGAARAATAGTTTTGGAATTACTGGTGGTGTTAGGAATCCTCATTTCGGGTAAGTGAAGTTGATATTGTTTCATGAATAGCTATGTGCTTTTTGTTTTAGGTTTCAGTGTTTATTTTTTTATGGGTTTGTTTTGCCATCAGTTGAGTGCCTACTTAGTTGATAACGATGACCGAGGTGAGATATGTGCCATTGATCCAGAAATATCTGATCAAATGATCAACCTACCTAAATATTAAACAATCAGTTTAAACTACGTACATGGTYGTGAAGATTTGAATTTCTATTTAACCAATAATCATCACCTTTTAAGATGGTGGAAACAAAAAAGTAGTGAAGTTCAACTTAATTTGACGATTCTCCTGATGTTTAATATAGGTATAGGTAATCGGCTATGAGGACTAAGATCTCGCTTTGGCCCGGCTACATAATCTTGAAATTCAACTCAATATTCTTACTTTATATATCCATGTAAGAAATTCTCTGTGCGGAGTTTCCTAGCTTATGATTTTCAGTCTGCCGCTGACACCATTTCGAGAAGAAGAGACACATTATTATTTTATAACTGCAAGACATTAGTTTAGACTTCTTCACTATCCTTGCGCAAGTAGGCACGCGTAATARGAGATCAATCCAATATAATTATGGGCGTCTGTTTTCAGGATACAAACAATAAACTGATTCGCAAGTATATACCTCATCAAAATCTAAAATGCGATTTGATTTCAAGTTTTGTTGAGATAACTACGGGTTGATGAAAGTGAGAACTCGTCTAAGTAGTCACAAAATAGATGTTGTAGGGGGAGGAAGGATGGCCCGAAAGTCGAATTCGGCACTTCTAAAGTGAGACMGATTGCACTACTACTATACATTACGCTGTCTCTCTCGACTCCAAATGGAAAAATGCACCCTTCTTTTGTACATAATCCAGCCAATGACCTGGTGACTATTCGTATTTTAGATTATAAAATTTTCGCATAATAGAATTCTATTTCAAATTCCTTAGGAATCCAAACGGCAGACGTTGTCGCTGAAGCAGATGACATGGCAAAACGAATCGAAGAAGAGAGCAAGAAAGTCGAGGACCAAAGCAACGCAATGGCTTCTGAAATAGAAGCTAAGGGCAGGACTATAGAGGATGCTAATCAAGAGAAAAAGTTTGAAGAAGCAAGTAAACATGTGGATGACATTATGGACGAGGGCGTGGAAGAAGTGAATGACAAAGGTGGGCATTTTCCGGCACAGAGTAGATCTTGTTTTGCGTCGAATTCATAGAATACTGCTGTGTTCCTTGCATGTGTGTCAACGTCAGAGTGACGACTGCACAACTTCAACATTGAAAACACTTTGAAATACTACGGACCTTCATTGAAATACATGATCTTCTACACAAAATTGGGGTTAAGGATAAACAACAGCAAATTCGAAAAAGGTGTTAGTGTTTTGGTGACATATTCTGTTATGAAATAATTTTTTTATTAAATCTCAACGTGGCAATGCGCTATTGTTGGTTGCAATGGAGTATTTATTAAGACGCCTTTATACTTTTAAAGGCAATACACATTTCTATTACCTCTGATTGAACTGCACCAACAACGTATTATCTGATTGAAATCATTGTTAAGAGGAAGAGGAATGAAAGTTACGCTCGAACAATTCTGTCTCTTTCTGATCTTTTACAGATAATTTTGCTGAAGAGCTTGAAAATGAAGCGGACAAAAGGGTCGATGAACTTGGGGAAAAAATAGAAGAAATTAGCAACCATGGTAATGGTATCTCCAGAAAGAGACGTGCTATTGATACAGTCATCAAGAGCTTAGGTAAGAGTGCCGCGGTTTTTTGCTTTAGAGTCTGTTATAGTTCTCTGTATCTGCTAGAAGCTTTGTACCATCACGTGATGGCAGCCATGACAGGAGGCGCAACAAGAGTCTTTTTCCCCTGGAAAACTGAATTATTTCTCAAGTAAATTACATTAGACCAAATTCACAAATTCAATTGTTCTTGCCTCCTGTCATGGCTGCTATCATGTGATGGTGCAAAGCTCTATTATCCGGTCCATGTATCCCTCCTCCAGACCTTTTCCACACATATGCAGTCTTTGTCTTCCTTTCCCAAAAAAAGCCACTGAATTGCTCTACCTGTATTTGACAAAATTGGTCAAATTGAACAACATATGTTTTATTGGCCAACTCAAATAGTGAAATATATACAATTTTCATTAAAATGAGCATTCCTACCTGAAAATGGTAAGCTAGTTCCAATGATAAAATGAGTATGAAGTTCTACTATTTTGGAAAAAAAAACAAAGATTATTTGTTAGGTGAAGACAAGTGAAAGGAGAGAAGAGAGACTAATTCCTCCTCGTCTTCTAAAGGAACAAAGAAGTCGACATCAGGTAACTCTGGATCAAAAAGACGTATGACAGTCAGCTACCCAGCGGAGCTACCAACGGAAGAATCGGCCGGAGAAATGATAGAAGATGTCATGAAAGACGGCGAAAAAATGGTGAAAAATGGAAAGACCTCGAGCAAATACGTCGAGCACAATGCGAAATTCTCTGATCAACAAGACTTTAGTGACCAATCGAATAATAAGGCTGAAGAAGAGGAAGATGCAAGATATCAAGTTGGAGAGACTGTTGATAGTTTGTCTCAACAAGACTTTGACAGCTTACAAGAGAATGAAAATAAAGAAACTGGGAAGACCTCTTTGAGACACGGTCAACCCAATAAACAACCCCCCGAGTTCCAAGAGATTGGAGACAAAGATGGCAATGAAAGTGAAGATATAGATGCAACAAAGCAAGAAGACACAGAAAACAACTTTTCTAACTTACTAAACTTTAGTGACGAGCAAGGTGTTTCCACACAAAATGACAATGATGATGAAAATGAGGACATAGAAAACATGGTTGTGAAACAAAGGGAACCGACTGTTAGTTTCTCTGACCAACAGGAAGATGCCGGAAATGAAGTAACGGGTGAAGATGCTACAGTAGAGCACGTTACTAAGTCGAAGGGCGAAGAAAATAACGGTGACGCTTTTATAGATGATTCTGTGCATAACGATTATGACAGCAATGTTTTCCACGAAAATGATGATGATAATGATAATAGTAAGAAAAAAGAGGAAAATGGAAAGGGTGAAAATGAGGAGCACGACGGGGCGGTATACGATGTGGACGTCTATCAAGAAAACTCAAACGCGAGTTTAAATGCTACTAAACTGGATGGGAAAGGAGAAGCCAATAGCACTACGGAAGACAGTTCAGCTGCTGTTCCCGCTCAGACTTCTTCAGGTGATGAGAATGATACCCAGACCCAGTACAGTAGTCAACAACCCACTATTTCTGCAGACGCTGATCAAGGAAATCATAATTCACCAGTGGAAATAAACTTTTCGCCTAGTGCTCAACTACTGAAGCCTGACCAAAAGTTATTGAATGAGATTGAGGAGGATCATGCTCTAAGATTGAAAGAAAAGGAGAAGAAACAACATGCCAAAGGTTGGTCAATTTTCTTAACTGAAATGAAATTTAATCACATTCCTATCAACTTAGTGTTGATTAAACTGTTCAAGCATGCAGGTTCAAATTTTTTTCATTTTGAAAATTATTTTCACTGAAGTGTTCTTGTTTTATAGAACTTCAAGATCTTGGTACCACACGACTGGAGCAGGAGTTTAACGCTCACTGGCGACAGACGGGTGCTGCAAATGACCCAGAAATGCTCTTGAGGTATCCTTCTCTTGGCAAAATCGTTGGAAAAACTGTCACTAACCAGAAAGTCAGCACCATAACCCCAGGAGAGGTGGATTTTCTTCAGACAGAATACCCTGATTACTTGCAACATGGGACAAATAGACGCAAGGTCGAGCTTGTTTTAAGAGATGTTATTGGCTACAAAAAAAGAAAAAGTATTCCAAAAGGAAAAGCAAAGAATAATCATCTCAGAAAAGTACCAATGAAAAACTGAGATAAAAACGAATTGTAATTAAAAACTAAAATTCAGACTTGGAAAAAAAGAGAAACATGGGATAATGTAATCAAATCAAAATATATTAAACCATGCAATAAAAGCAAAATGATCAATCAAGTAGTTGTGTTGAGGTATTTTTATAAATAAATAACATTCCTTTTCCCCATGCTGGTCTTAAGAGTTAATTATATCAAGGCATGCGAATGTCTTATAACTGATTTCCATACTAGAAATAACTCAATTGACAAAAGCATGCGAATGTTTTATAATTATGCTTTGCGTTTTAGTTCTTTGTGGTAACTCTACGTACAACTGATTCCAAACTTCTAGGGAAGCGGTCGATGCGTGTACGAGCTATGGGTGGAGCACTTGCATCCTTAACTTTCATACTAGAAATGATAATTGACAAATTTGCAGCAACCTAAATTTAAACCTAAGACAATATTTAATTGTATTATGTTTTTATTTAGAGTTATACTGACTTGTTTGGATACATTAAGGTTTATGGGTATTTATGAATCATGATTGCTGATTTTTATTACGCAAAACAACAAGCGACTTTGAGTTAGTCTAGTGGCGACATGTCCTATAACAGGTCTATATCATTAATCAAACTTTTATCTTTTCTTTTCCAAGAATCTAAACGAGATATAATGGCATCAGCGCGCACTAAAGAAAACCCAAAAACGGATGAGCCAGGGAAAGCCAAGGATAAATTAGAGCCTAGTAAAGTCGTAGTGTTAYCTGACGTAGCTATCCGAGGCACAGACTCTAACAACATGCAGATCAAGGAGTTAAAAAGCCAAAAGTCTCATGGAATCTGGCTAGCAGTGCACATTCCTGATAATGCTACATCTCCCCTTAGGCCAGTAAAAATACTGTCTACAAAGAAGGCGGCAGAAGATTTAGAGAAAATTGTTGGCCCTAACAAAGAGACAATGTTTAAGGAGCTTCAGTCTATAATTGGAGTAGATAGTGCAACGTTAAGAAAGATGCTCAAAGCTGGACAAATTGATGGAAAAAGGAATAGGAAAGTACACAAGGTTGATGATGATGATGAGGACGAGGAGGAGGAGGAAGATGAAGACTCCGATGGAGAGAGTGACGAAGATGAGAAAGAGGAAGAAGACGAGGAATCTGACAGCGGGGATGATACAAAGTGTCAGGATGATGAAGATGAAGAAGAAAGTGAGGAAGAAGAAGAAGAGGACGAGGAGRACGAAGATGACGAAAGACAAGGGAAAAAACACAAGAACAAACAGAATCAAGAGAAGCTAAAACATCAATCCAAACAAACGGACAAGATTACCAGTAAAGCAGGTAAAAAACCTAATCGCGGTAAAAAATGTTCCGRAAAGGAGATGCTACCTTGGATCTTAAATGACGGTGGTAGCGGAGCAGAGAAAAACAGTAGCGCTGTCTTGCAACCTGAAGGACWTGAAGCACCTTTAGCTAACATGCTGAATAAGATACACGTCCGTTTGAAAAGAAAAAAGGCATGCAAGCACGCAAAGAACCCAATTATAAAAGAACTGTGCAAACAAATGTATAGACACCACAAACATCCTCGACCGAATTGGAACCAACCCCGAAGACATCTACGCCTTTCTCACAACAAGTACTATAGACATCTGAAGAGACTAATGAGAAAGTTTCTCAATCGCCACTCTGGGAGACAGGCACACCAAGTTCTGCAGTATATGAATCTACTTCTGTCTGATCAACTACGTCTTTCACCGGATGGAATCGTTCATCTTTATCCAAATGTCAATGGAAAAGCGAACAATTATGGAGATGGGTTCAAAGCCCTCGCTGATTATAACAGTGGAACAAAAAATACCCCACCATTGGAACCTCCAGTCATGGAAGATAACATGTTCAATGGCAATGTKATTCGGGTACCAGTACCAGGAAGTACACGCGGGACAACCACGCCCAATGTTGGAATCATATCGAATTCACAGGCAAATGTATTGAATAATCAAGTTAATACGAAACTTGGTGACCCTCATTCSTCTGAAGGTGACACACAGATGCAGATGCTGAAAGAGGAACTAGGTATTTAAAGGAATTTGTTGATTGTCAGTCAAAATTCATAGCAATGGTGGATCGATGAGATTGGCTGTTACTTCCTTTTTTAGATTTTTACGTTASTCATTAATTTTGAGGTAAACCCATACAGTCCCAAGATCCACTTTTGTAAAAAAAAAGTCCATAAATTTATATCACCGATCAAATAGCATCATTTTCTTGCCGGAAATTATGTTTAATTCGCCAAATAAATCGATTGAAATCGAACTTATAAGTAATTTAGTCTAGCCCTTAAGAATTGGAATGGTATTTTCCCTTCCCAATCCTTCCATATTTAACTCTTTGATATGTTTTGAAAAATAACTGTAGCCTTTTATATAGCTAATAGTAACCTCTGTCACAGAGACTATAGGGCTGATCCGACCCGTATGTTTTTTAACCTTAAAAGGTTCTCTCATTCTTATATCATTTTCTGTGAATCTCAATTGCATTTACTYATGGGATAATACTTTATCCTTTTAATACCCAAGGAAGAGCAAACGAAGAGCTCCGAGAGCAGCAGAAAGAAAAGGAACGCGACGATGCCATCTTGGACAAATACATGTTCAATTTTCAGTCATTGGCTGAAAAAGGCCCAATCAACGCATTTAGTGGAATGCAGAAGGATGCCGAACAGCGAGTAAATGGTCAGCAGGTTTCTGTGATAGACCCAAACCAACTTTCACTCAAAGAATCACGACTACCCATCAGAAACAGACCTGATATTCCGTCGCTAGGTGGGTATGTAGGAGGACAATTTAAAGGATTTACCCGAAGAAATAGAATTCAAAATTATCTTAAAAATATTGTAAAACGAGTACAATTCCATCAAGAGAAAAAGAAGAGTAAGAAGATGGAAGAACATTCTTGGAGTGTGAAGCATCACTGAAGACAGCAGGCAGTTTTGAATTTGATCAAAATAATGTACAAAATAATTTAATATCAGACAGAGTATTAGAAAAATCTCATCCTCGGGAACCCAGGGGTAAAATTTTGTCGCTGGTTTTGAAAGAATTTTACCCCTGGGTTTCGAGGACGGATAAATCTATMAAACAAAATCTAATTGACAACAATATAATTAATATGATTGTATAGTGTCTATAGTACCTGTATGAGTTATTTTATGATTTTAGTCTTCAAGTGGACCGTGAAACGAAGTATTATTACTGTAATGTTCACAAGACTATGCTTTTCACGGGAAATCATAGTCCTTTTCACAGTGCCCCCCGCGCGAAATGTGAAAAATAGTCYAAGCCGATGTTCGTCAAAAAGGTCTCTATAAGATCAACGTGATCGTCTCACTTCGACAAGGCTACCTTTCAAGATGCACAGGGAACTACGAAAGGGACTATTCTTTTAGATGTTATTACTCGTGGGTTACGTTTTCATTCTGAAATATATGCTGTGATAGGCATTACTGATTAGATAAAACAAACATGTTATTTTATATATATATATATGTTTTAATTTTGATTGTTGGGGATCTAGAGGAKGTTCATGGGGTGCTTAGAATTCCTCTTGCCCAGTAGGAAACTAACTCAAAATTTTTGAGATCCACCGCTCGTTAACTAACGATTTTCTTGTTGCTGTTTGTTTGTTTGCTTGTTTATTTTCACCTTGCTAATAAAGGATTTTCATATATAGTCATGTGTGGGTCGCTGTGTCATTTTTATGTCTCGGRAAAATATTTTACGCGAGAAAAAATTCAACAGACCATCTTACCTTGAGTGTTGTTTTTTTATCATTTCAGACGACATGTCAATCTTTTGAGTATTATTTAATTGTTTATGAGCAACGCTCATAAAAGAAACTCATATGGATGAAAATCGAAAAATATTTTATTCCCAATGGCGGGAAAGACACGTGGTTTGAAATCTGTAAACTGATTACGATCAAGCTGAACTCGGCAGAGAGAGAGTCTACAATTTTTTTCATCTACCATGGATTCCAATTTTGTGTGAACAGGCCATTAATATACTTCCTATCTTTTTCCCCCTTTTTCCCCTGATTCCCAGCCTTTGCCTTCATATTTGTGTTGCTTTTGACTACAGTAGAAACCCGCATAAAAGAACACCCATTTTTGAAGTTGAGGCYGATATTGTTCTTATTTAACGGGTGTTTACTGAAAATCAGCCTGAAGGTGTTATTAAGGTGTTCTTAAAATAAATGTTTCTAAAATATACACAGTATTACTATATATAGACTACCAATACATGTAGTTCAAAAATGTTATTTWAAAAAATCTTGACTGCAATAATAACTGTATCAAAACAGTAGAAAAATAAATTATTGTCAGGTCAGGCATGGAGTCTGCTACTGGTAATATTGATTTTTGTTTTTAAAGAACACTTTTTAATATTTCAGGCTGATTGTRTTCTTATTTACATGGTACTTAAAACGCCAAAATTCAGGCTGGGTGTTCTTAACCCACTTGTTCTTTTATGCGGGTTTTTACTGTATTCAGAAAAATAAAATGTGAAGTTATAAAAATTGCAGGCTACTTTTAACACTAAAATAAATGACGCTCTATCTCCTATGTAGGAGTATGGCTGTGGCGACTATTTTTGATTTTTTTTATAAAAAAATACAAAAATAGAACGGCTTTGGAATTACCATGGGAACAGCGACTTGCTTAGCACACGAAACTGAATGGCAATCACACGAATCAATCACGCATCAATCACGTTCACACTTGGTCACGCTTAGTCACACACGTAACAATTTGATAAGTAATGCGAGTTTTGCGTGATGTTTCCACAAGGAGGTTTCTGGGTGGTTTTCGAAGTCTTTTGTTTAACGTTTTYCTATTTTAAGAGAAGATACTACTCAATTTCGCTATTTCTTTAATTATCTGTTTGTCTTTCTACTTATTGAGCCTTTTGTACAAATACCAAACTAAACTTGAATAAATAAAAGATYCTTTTGTAGAACGACGTCATTAATCAAGTTGTTCAAATTACCATAATCTGTTTCCTGTGGGGCTGGTGAAAAACATGAAGCTATTTACAAAAAACCTTTGAAAAATCTTTGAATAAAAACGTCGTGTCTTTTTGATTTAATAAAAAATAATATCCCCTGAGGAGAGGAAAATAAGCCGTTGTACTTTGTACGCTTTTTTCGTTTTATTTTCTCCAACCATGTACACAAATACCTAACTAAACAAGTATTTCCATCAATATCAGTCAATATACCATCACATTAAGCGTTTTCCTTATTTGTAATTTATATTCTTATATCACATATTTACTCTTTACTCACATTATTTACTCAAAAAAATACTCTAACGTCATTTTATTGGCAACCAGTTATTTTTCCAAAGGTAAATAAGACTGAGGGTTATTTATTTGACTTTATCGAGATGTATTCCCTTAAAGACAAATTTTAAAATACTTTAGAGTTAAGTTCATAAACGCGTCAATCTGACTCTATCAATCATGACACCTGCTGATCTCGACGCTCTGCGCATGCGTGGTTCAATCAAATAGGTGACGCCTGAGTGATTTACAAGATTTTTACTGGAGGTGGATATACTGGTTGAGGTCACGAATACTCACTATATACGTACGCTGGTGATTATTATTAACCTCCTGTTAATCGTTGAACAGCCGTATTGATTAGGAACTTTGCCATCGAACGTGACTGAGACAAGTGAAAATCATGGGATATAATGTTCAGCAATTTGTCAATCAGGACATTGACCCGAACCTGTTATGTGGAATTTGTGCTGGGGTACTAGAGAAAGCCGTCATAACTCCCTGTGGACATTCATACTGTGACGAATGTTTAGAAACATGGTTGCAAAGAAGAATCGAAAATGAAGGCATCCCTGCTTCATGTCCTTCCTGTAGGACCGAGATGTTAATGACCGACACGATTCCTGTCATAGCCCTACGAGGGATTATCGATGGACTGATTGTTCAGTGTCCAAATGCTGACGATGGATGTAAGTTGGTGATTAAGTTAGACAATGTTGACTCCCATTTAAAGGAGTGTAGGTACGAGGCGGTGCAGTGTAGTGGGTGTTGGAAAAATATTCAACGACGACAATTAGCTGAGCATCACGCAAGCTGCGCAAGCATCAGAAGATTATGTTGTACATCATACTCAGATGAAACGATTGATCATGATTTTAACCCAACAGTACACGAGCTAACTCAACAACTTGCTGAGGTTGAAGCTGATTTAAGAAAGACTAAAGATTCGTTGAATTTATCCAAAGGAAATGTTAAAAAACTCGAACGGGAGCTAAGGAACATGAGGTACAGAATTGATCTTCACTCCGCTGAAGAAGACGAAGAATTCGATTGCGATTTTGATCCAGAATATAACTACGGCTATTCACCTCAAAGTATAGCGCAATTATCTTCAATGATATCACGATCTTTACTCTCTAAACCCTACTATGTTGACCGTGGATATACTTTCGCTGCCATCAAACGCTGCTACGATTATTACCACAATTTCCCTGGTTATTCACAAGACGTTCACATGATGCTAGCCACGGCATATGCTAGTAACTGGTTCACTGAAAGCCAAAGACGAAGTTTTGAAATTTGGTTAGAAAATATCGCGCGTGAACGATTCGTTCGATAGAATCATTTTTGATTGTTTTGATTTTAATTTTTTTCTTTTGAATAAATGAATATAAATAAGCCTGTGTGTGGTGGCGTTCGCGGTGAGTAAAAGTGTATCTGATTTAGAAAAAAAATTCGGCAAATTGAATAAAATCATTAAAGATTGAATGTTTTTACACGTGTGCAACAAGTTTGATTTTTATTATTTGTGTTCGTTTGATCACAGTCGAGCATCACTGCAGGTCGTCCGCTTCTGTTTTCTCTTCCAAATCAATAAATCTTGCCATAATTTCCATTTCTAAACATATGAAGCAAAACTTATCTATTCTTTCGACTCTAATCAATCTGGCGGCAATTCGGTAATTATCTAAAAGGAATACTGCTTTCCTTTTAACCTGTTAGTTTATTCTTGTGGTCTGTCTTCAGCAACAGGTTTTAATCAAGTCTTCTATACCAAATCTTTAGTGATTTTTKTTTTCGTGTTTTCGATACATATCACATTAATATCGTCCAATAATTTCATCGGCGGCCGTGTTGATTAAAAATGATTCTATTTGTTATTAAAGCAGCTATGTGGGTTTACATACTTCAATAATTTAAAGCTTTTGTTTGAATTATTTCGAACCTAGCGCTTGTTAATTAAAAACAGCTTTTACTCAAATTTCAACGGAGTCTAATTCACTGAACGATTTTCATKCGATTCGATCGAGAAACTTCGCTGAAAAAAGGCACTGTCAGGTTACCGAGGAGATGGCAAAGTAAGCGATGTCTAGCGCTAGCTTAAATAAATACGAATACAAAGATTAAAATCAGTTTAGTATAACGTGTTAGCCGTAATGGTTTCACCTTTTTCGACATTCCTTGAAAGTGCGTAAAAGTACACGTTTATGGTTTTTTTAGTACAATATTTCTTCTTACGACTGACTTCACCTCTCATGTGAAACATCGTCCCATAAAGACAAACAAACAAAAAYAATCCGCTCTAGGAAAAAAATAACAACAAAGTACCAAACAACAGACAATCAAACAACCAAAAACTTCACGAAAATTCAAATCAAATTAGATTTGTTCAATCGATTGGCCTCTACAACTCGTGTAAGTGGTGTTACGGTCACCAMAAAGATCGGAGATTGTCATTGAATTGTCGTACAAATGTACAGTTTATCAATTTGATTTRTTCAGCTTTCTCAAAAGATTTTTCGGAAAATTAAATTATCTAGTGAACAAGGGTGAAATGGTTTATTATAATGATATATAGGATAAGCATCGAGGAATCAAGTCAAATGAAATAGATAAACCGAGTTTCAGTACATTTGTACGACAATTCAATGACTATCTCCGTTCTTTTTGGCGACGATAACATCAAGCACATCACCTGCAATCTAGAGGCCAATCGGCGAATTAATGTATCGTAAGGTGTAATTACGATAGGACAAATTCTAATTATTAAAGTTTAGTATAAAAATGGTACTGATTTGTAAACTTTGATAATAGACCCCTTGCAATGATTTTCTAGAGAAATAAATTGTTCTGAGGGACAAAACAATATTTTTTTTTTGCATAAGAAAAAAAAGACGGCCAAGTTTTGTCCCCCTGAACAATTCCTCTAGAAAATCAATATAAGCCGRTTACTGCCTTGGATAGTTCTAGCCTATAGCTGAATATAACGAATACAACGCATACAACGCATCAACGCGTTTTCCAGTTTCTTTAAAAGAAAAAGAAAAATCACATACCAATGAAGAATATCGAGTTCATTGAAGTCGCCAGAGAAATACAAGAATACAAGAAATAATCAAACTTGTCAATGATTTCCATTATTATGAGTATGGAGATTCAATCCCCATATTATAAAAAAGAAAAAACGTGGCGTGTCAAGCATAGCAGATAAATGAATGTCAGATTTTAGCTTGCTTGAAATTAAAAAGGAATTCATTGTAACAAAGATATTACGAACGTTCCACGTTTCTAAGACTAGTACTCATAGCACATCATGCTCATTGGCTTCCGTTCATCAAAAATTTACCGAGAGCTTTCTAAATTTGAAAGGCGGAAGTCAAGTCAAAAACAAAAAGACAGGCAGTGTCTGAAGTTCTCGCGGAACCTTGACATTTGTAGTTTTTAATGGAATTTCATTTTTAATTTTAACCCTCCAGGCCGTACATTTAAGTCCAAGTTATCGAGACCTCTCTTCTCTCTAATCAGGCATTAATGCTATCTGTAAACTATATCGTGGTGGCTTTAGGGTATATTACTGAAGCTGATGCGCCTCGGCTGAGACGTTTGAAATCCATTTTCCTTATCATCAATTTGAAAAGAAGAGGAAAGAAAAATGATGTAAACATTTAAACCGAAGCTCAATTATTTTCTCTCTTTTTGATCATAAATTATTTTTGATCATAAATTATTTAAGGTTAAGGGTACTGACCTTCAGGGGTATGTTTCTCTTCAACTCCTTCTACGCAACATGTTCAACAAAACCCCCTATACTATATATCGTTTTAAAGGTCATATGATAAAGATTTCGAAAATAATATTTTTTTGAATTTATACAAAAAAGAATTAATCATGATTACCCCTTGGAATGGGATGAGATATATGAGAGAATTTACACTACCTCAGTCCATACATATTCAAGATATTTTCAATATAAGATTCTAAACAATAGATTTAAAATAGTAGATAATCCTTCAKGTTCGTTTTCTTGTTTGTATCCCGAAACTATAGATCACCTATTTGTGGAATGCTTAGAATCCAAAAATTTCTATATCGACATCAGAAATTGGTTTTTAGAATCAAACTTCTATTTACCAGCATGTAGTCACGTTAATGTTATATTGGGTGTTGATGATATTATGTTTAATTACATTATTTTATTATATAAAATGTGCATCTATAAGGCAAGKGAAAGAGGTAAAGTTCCAAATTTAGAATTATTCAAAAATTACTTAAGGTACAATGAAAAAATTGAATATATGGAGGCCAAGGAGAAGAATAGTACCGTTTACCACCAGATATAAAAACATCGCAGTCTTTGGAAATATTCAAGAGAAAACTAAAAACATTTTTTTCAATTTGTAACTTTAATCTATTTTTTCACTTAACATTTTATCGTAATATTTGTAAAGCGCATTGAGAATCTATAATGCGCTATATAAGAACATATTTATTATTATTAATATTATTTCAAAGCATAAACAAAAATGGGGGAAAAATATATCTCGTTTTAAATCCATAGATGTTTTTTTTTTCTTTCTAAAAGACTGACTAAGGCTGGGACGTTGTTGCTGTTGTTGCTGATGTCGTTGTGTGCGGCTGTAAGCGGTTGTTATATCGCTTTAATATGTTTTTGTCGGTAATCGTTACATTTTGCATTTCTGTATGTATTTTGTCAATAATGATACACCATTGGGGTATGTAAGCATCTAGAGGGTAACACCTAGAGTTCCCCTCCTAAAATTGTTTAAAAAATGTAAACATCTAGAGGGTAACACCGGTCCGTGTAACACTCCACAAAGAGCTTTTCAATTTAGTTGGCGTGAATTTGACATATGAAATTTGCCTGATTTTTGAATTTTCATTTTTTATGATCATGTCAAAATTCGAATATTATCTCATCAATGTCAATCTTCAATTTTCGAATTCAAAAATTAAAAATTAAAATAAATATTTGAAATGACTTTTCGAAATTTTTATTTTGTACTCTGAAAACGAACTTTGGAAAAATATCCTGTAGACAGGGGGAGGTGAAGATTAGGCGGACTGAGGGTAGGTGGGTCCACTAACAACGACAATAATAAAAAAAACCATAGAGGGAGGGSAGGCACCAAGGAGGGTGTTATAACAACATGTAAACCTTGAGAGAAAACCATGGAAGAATTTTCGACCAATTTGTACGATGATGAAAGCGGAAGTGGACCCACCTACACGGACCTACACGGACCTATACGCGCCCGATTTTTGTTTAAGGCTMCGGCATTGTTTCAAATTAAAAAATAGCTTTCAAATAATATTATTTTCTAAATCTTTATAATATGACCTTAAAACGATATATAGTTTCATGGGGGTTTGTCCAAAGTGTTGCGAAGAGATAGTCTTAAACAAAACATACCCCTGAAAGTCTCCAGTAACCTTAATTGGTTGTAAGACTGTAAGGTTGTTAATTCATCTATTTGTTGATTTATTTAAAGAAAAAAGAAAAAGAAAAAAGAAAAGAAAAAGAATTTTTAAATTCTATATATACTATATCGCAATAACAAAATTTAAATAATATAAGTATGATTAGTTATCTTGACCAGTTCTTTTAAAAGTGAGTCAGCTACTTTCTTCTAGACTACCAAATRAATAAATARATMTTTCTTTCTTTCGACAGTAAACCTATGTCACATTAGCGACTTACAATAGGGAACTGCATTAAGAAATACACAAGTAAAATCAAAAACCAGCATCAATCGTGATGATATTTTTCGTTCGAAAGCAAAATATATATAATCCAAAATTGATAYCGCAAGAATAAAATTAAAAATAGTATGATTTGTTATCTAGACCGGCCAGAACTTTTAAAAGTGATCATGAATTTGGTAATAGCACCGGCGGCGGTTTGTTTGGATTAGTATCCAACTTGATATGTATCTTTTCAATGATTACAGGAAAGAGAATGACAAGCGGTCTGGACTGGGAAAACGTTATGCCAAGAGTTAAAGAGCCTATAAATCTATTTGCATCGAAAAAGCTTGAATCCCCGTCGTCCACTGAAAAATAACCTCCTCTTCTCTTCGTCTTAGAATTTTTCATTATGAAGTTAACTCTTTGGGGAAATTTTTGTTGTGTTTATAATAGATTTTCTTGTCATTTTTTYTTGTTTTCTACATGGTTTTGTTTGCTTAGAGCTTGATTTTCATTAACATGTCTGCCATTTTCGATTCCTTCCTTTTTTGAAATTGGCTGCTTGTCGGTTTTCGCTTAATTTGTACACGTTCCTAATGGCATGTGTGTCGTAGACTTGGCAATTTTTTTCATGTTTTTACATGAACTTGATATAATAAGCAGACATAAGACTCTAAGGTTAAGTGCACTTGTAGGCTCTCAAATAAAACTCATGCATGTGTTTACAAGGAAGCTTTGATATTAGATATACAACCACCAGCTATTAAAGGCTTTTCCATATACTATTCTATTAGGATCTAGATATCAGGATATGAAGATAGGGTTTATGATAGATATGAAAAACTCTGTTAATGAGGGTTTTTTAAATCGATAATTTTCAAATGGTTGAAGCACCCTCTTGATGAAAASCATAAACACATGAACACAAACGAATACTTGCAAGATCACAAGCATCTTGATATCAGGAAACTGCCGATTTAGATACAGCTAAATAAAATACGATATCATTTACTGAATCAGTGTACACTAAATTTAATACATTAAAAAACTAGAATTGCGAACTGAATCAAATTATATAAACGAATAAGAATGACTTAACTTTAATCTCAGTTAGAGCTTGATATTAATTTTTTTAATTCAAGCCAAAATATTAAGGTAGAACAATTCAATTTTAGTGTAATTCAATTGGTATAAGAAAAAAAGTTTTTTTGAGCATGTAGTTTTACTTTCTTATTCAAACAAAGAAAATTAATATTTGTTCTTGGTATATTTTTATTTTCTGTCCAAATAAAGGAATTTTTAATAGTATAAAAGTTTTTAAGAATGAAGTGAGCAAGCAAAGTTAAAATTCAATGAAAGCGAAAGAAATTTTTAAGTTTACRTAAATTATTATTCAAGGTTCAAAATTATATATTTAATTCATTAAAAATTGATATCATCCGTAGTTTTATTGGGTTATAAATTGGTTAATTACATTATAATCACACTTAACCGTAAATTTGGAGGTGAAAATAAGCAGAGAGSCGCCAAAGTAAATACGAATGAAGTGGGGAAGAAACAATGAATTGGTTGAAGATTAGGAGTTAGCATTTGTTTAGTACTGTAGTATATAAGGATTTAATGTTAGTTGTTTTGTGGTAGTTCTTGAATAATAAATTAAGGGCAGCTCCCAATTTCAACGACGATTGATTTAATACTGAATAATCATATCTACGAGGACATGAAAGAAGAGAGGAGTCAAAACGCCGGCTTTCAAAACATCCCTGCACGAGCTCTATTCAACCAGTCAGGTGTTCGATTCAAGAATTCCAATTGCGATCCATCTTTTAAAGCTGGTCGTGAGTAGGTAAACACTATTAAATTAGACCAACGATTTAATTGGTTGACTTGGCAAAATGGCATTTGTAAACTCGGTGACTACAAAGAAGGAATATTTGGCSTGAATGACATACTTCACTTCTTTGAGTCTGTAATCAGCGGAAGGCCGGAGGCCAGGCTCTGAAATAAATTAGTGAATGACTGACCAAGGCTATAGGTCTATTTTATATCCAACGATTAGGATCTGCTCTAAATGAACTACAGAGAATTCATTCTTCGAGGAACTAAAAAACAAGTTGTTAATTTTGAGTTGTTGCTGAAGATGTTGGCTGTATCTGGATGCTGAGGCTAAGCAAACTACCATACTACAATATTTAATTCATTATTTTCATAGCATAGTTGGAAATCGTGAAGATAAACGCCGAAAACCATGACATCGTATTGGGGAGGTAAGGAGCTTTTTATTTCATTTTTTATTTTATTTTTAAACCTAAATTTAATGTTAATAACTGTGTTTTCAAGTCTTCCTGTGACAACATTGAGACAGTCTTGATTAAGTCACCTGCCAATAACTTGACTCACACATACGACATCAGGTTGTTGAAAGTGCAAAATTCGGCTACAACAAATGAATAAGAAAACGCTTGTTTCAACCATCAGTTCACCTCCATCCATCGAGTAGAGAAGACATTTTTGGGCCGATATTAGTGATTACAAAAATGGTTATCTATGTCAGAGGATATTAGTGTGTTTTAATTATATTCTTCAGGCAAGATGTAGCTATTTTCCACAAATATATATATACATATTTATTTAACATGAACATTTTCCTAGTTCCTAGACAGTACTGAGTGCTGTCCTACACAATGTTCTCGAAATTTTATTCGGATTTTGAATTTACAACTCTGTTTATATCTCCAATGATACTTACTACGCATTTCATGGAGTCCATTTATAGTTAAGGAATAAGCCTTGCACGACGGCCAAGGCGCAAATGAGCGCGACTAGTAAGAAATCATGAAGAGCTTTATCTTAAAATGATCCATTGGACAGAATCAATTCAAATGCCGGGCTTGAACTTCGCATATATTTTAGGATTCCTTCAAATCAAAAAAGACTATTAAAATTAAAGAATAAGGAAACGATAAGAAGAAAGGAAGAGGGAAGGAGTCGGAAGAATAGAAACAAAAACCAAAAGAATGAAAAAAAAACAGGTTAAAAAAAGAAAGAAAGAAAGAGAAGAGAAAAAGAAATAAAAAGAAAAAAAGCGCGAAGAGAAAAGAGGAAGAAAAGAGGAAGAAAAGAAAAGAAAATAATGCAAGAATTACGAGAAGAAAATGGAAAAAAACTTAAATTGATAAAAATAAAAATAAAAAAATAAAAAAAATAAAAAACACGAAAAAAAAACTATACGAGCAAAACAAAATTTGAATACCGAAGATTCGTATCAAAAGAAGTCGAAGGCATATTATCTTATTCTTATTTAATAGCGACCTATGAGTTTTATTCTGAAGATCAAAACGAATCCGACTTGACTTGAACGCTTGTTTGCATGAATAGACTACAAATTCATTGTATCGATTGATCATTATCGATGCATATTTTGAATCCAAACATCCGTGTTAGTGAATTGTAAGGAAGTCTCTCGCTCCAAAGATAGTATAGACGTGATGTATCGATGTTTGTATATCAAAATAGTCAATGGAGAAATAGTCAATGCAGAAATAAAAAAGTTAATCATGTTACATTGGAAGGGTTGATGAATTGTGTCAAGTCTGCTCAACAAACAATGATCGCTGATTGTATACTGGAGAATGTGATAGGATCAAGGGAAATTAACGGGGCGGTATACTGTCGGTTCTTTTCACAGGGAACCCAATGTTGTTGTTGCTTTTTTTTTTTTTTTTTTGTGCCAGTATATATATAGTGTGTATAATTACAGTAAATGTATGTGGTTCACAAAAAATCGCTTTTTCTAAGATAATTTTTCATCTACCTTTCTGTTGTCTTCTCTTCTTACCTATAAGACCGAACATATCGATAAAAGAGTAATATATAATTATATTATTAGTGATTCAGTTTATGAATACAAAATCAACAAATCTTTTTATACGGTCGGTTTATGGTCCTTCAAGGATGCGGTCAGGCTGGAATACTCTCTCTTATCTTCGGAAATAGATATTGGACGTCTAGGTTGTGATATTTTTGCCAATGGGTTAATGCATGTCATAAGGAACTTAAAGATATCATAACGAAAGGAAAGACTGATTTAGAATTGATATTTTTCTGTTGACCAAGAAAATAAAATCGAGCACGAGAAAAAATTATGTGGAAACCCCAAGCCCTCCAAAAAAATCTACACTAATAGGATGACAAACTGTYTCTTTTTAAAAGTTGGGTTTTAAAGTTTTTTGAAGTAGGGGTATTGGATGCGGGAAAGGTGTACCCATTTTTAAAAACTGAAAATTAGATAAACGCTGCGCGCTCACTTAACATGACTTCCCCTCTTTACCGACAAAGGTTGATATTTTTAATACGCCCTCTGGCTAATTAGATCGCGCGATATATCGTAGTTATCTTAAATAATGAATAAGAGTGCAGTTGGTTGATTGATAGGAAAATACCTGTTTTGAAAATAAACCTATTATGAACCTAAATTAAACAAATTCTTGAAGATTTATAGAGCTAAATATTCGTTGTGATATGCTCTCCTTTTTATATTCCATTCAATATTCGAAGAAATTAAGCTTTTTGAAGATTTTCTATAGAAATATTATAAGTTTTGAGAGAAGGTCTTTGATTTGTTGATTCATCGAAAGAAACTGCTTGTCATAGAAAGTAAAATGTGTGATTGTTTGCTAAAAAAAACACCTGAATTCTTGAAGAATACTTCTTGATCCATCTTTGACTATATGGAAGCTTTTTAAATCTGTTGTTGGCCTATGATTTGTCCCAATGCGATGTTTTCTATACRTTTGTGTGAACCACATTTCCGAGTAGTTTTGCTTTGAAATCAAGAGGGATTCCTGTGTTGTGCACACGGACGTACGTACGGACGAAAGTGACGTCAGCCAAGCCATGAAAAATTAACTCTATGGTCTACTATTTTTTCTTAAGAATGGAGCTCCGCTATTAAAATCTATCCTAAACTCTATCTTTATATTCTGATATTTAGATCCTATTAGTATAGTGTATGGTATTGCCTTAGCTGCAGGTTGTATATCTAATATCATAGCTTATATTGCCGTAAATGTGCTTGGTTTTCATTTAAGCCTAAGAGTGCACTTAGTCTTAGTTTTTCTCATACCAAGTTCACCGAACATGAAGAAAACTAGAGGAAAAACACTTTTACAAGCAAATGAAAACAGCCATTCTCGATCGGGGGGGGGGGTGTTAATAAGCTCACTACCTCAAAGCTCTATAGCATATTTGTGGCACAAGTTGAATTGCTCTAGATCTAAATTTACGATATATATTTGAGGACTTGACGGAGTGTTTGTGATGGCGATTAAAGCTACCGTGCAGTTTGGAGTTTACAATCACGAGAGGAGGGCCGGATTAGTTTTATGGACTACGCAGCCTAGTACCGACATTGAGGATGATTTCACCAAGGAAGCAGCCGCCATGTTGGTTGGCATGACTTAACGAGAGAAGATAATGAGATAATCGTCAACCTACATGGCAGCTATGACGTGTAACATGCAACCCAAGTATATATATCGTTGTGTAACCGACTACATCATTTGAAACAGATCCCCGAGCCGTATACCCACGTACGGAGACTTAAAGTGATCTTGTGTGCGTATGACGTTACGTAGCCGCCATGTTTGTCTACTTTTACAAGAGATTGCCATTGGCCTCTTGAATATCAACCAATTAGCATGGCGCTGCCAATCCACTTTATTTAAGGAGGCCCTGGGTAGTTTTGGTCTGGCACACCTAGCCGTATTGAAACGGCTACAACTTCGTCTTGAATAACTCGATCTGCGAAGCACTTTTCACGCAATGTCAGGAAAGGATTAAAGGTTTCAAAAATGATAAATTAGTTTAAAGCGGCCTTTTCATTCAGTTACGTAATGATGACATCATAGAAATCGTTTACCGCTTATTTTCTCGAAAACTAGACCTAAACTTTCAAAGCGACTTGCACCAGTCGATAGTATTCATCGAGGCACCCAACATATAGCAATATGAAAAAAATGTATGAGAGCGTTTTCCAAATATTACACGATGAATATTTTCATGGACTTTTACTATTATTTCCAGCGTGTCAACTATTTACCCTTAAAATCGTGACTTTAATTTAGTGGATTCAATATTTTTAGTAGCTAGAATATAGRTACGGATGTAGACACTGTCCTTATTGAGTATGAATCAAATTGTGACTTTCTTTCTAAGGTTATGGATTTTTTGATATGAAGCTAATTGACCCAATTTGTTGTCAAAAGCGATAGAAAATATTGGTGAAAGCGGCATTCAAAAAATCGTCGAATGATTTTTTTTCTAAATGAAGTCACTAAAAGATGTGTCTTTTACAAACATTCTCCTTTAATTTCATATGCATTGAAGGGTTTTAAGGCAGTCAAATAAAAATAAGTACGCTCACAACTATTTTCGCTCACGGCTGCTTGTTGATTATTCACGCTTTACTTCCGCTTTATTCCTTGTCGTGTGCTGTTAGTTGTGAGCGTGAAACAAAATTAAAGATTTATTGTCTAATTGCAGCTATTTTGTTGCTATTTTGTCAGTACAAAAAAAAGGAAGGAAAGAAGGAATAAAGAAAGAACTAATGTTCAATTTGGTCAAACTGGGAAACAAGAATAAAATAACTTCTGAGCTGATCAAAGCCACTAGGAAATTGCTAATTTACAAATCAAATTGGAATTTAGTGTGTTGGGTATTGGAGAGAAAAGAAAATCAAGGACTACGTCACTTATATTAAAACAAAAACAAACAAAAAAACAGATAAAACAGCTTTTTAAATGATKATTTCTTCGCTATCAAACGATTTCAGTTTTATTTATTCAACTGTTGAGTGTTTTTAATTTTCTCTTCTGTAAACATGCATGAAGCAACTGATTATGGATTATAACTTTCCGATCTAAGACCTCTGATTGGTTGATTGTATTAAAAGTGTTACAATGCATCTAATAGCGAGGTGTTGAATCACTGATTACAGCCTTTCTATTGCAGAAACAATAACCCGAGAAGCCAATCTCATAACGACTGGCAGGACCAAGTACCAAGAAGATATCAGAGATCTTAGGACGGATAATCCGCGATTCAGCAACATGACAGGTAATCAAGTTCAGAGCTYGTTTGAAAAAAATATGGTGAAAATAGTCATTTATACATAAACCAATAATTGAATGTTGTATTTCTACATTACTATTAACCGCTAGTCGAGAGATTCCAAGTGAATGATTATTCTCAATGATTTTAAATTGTTAGTGTTTTCTGAGTAAAATCGATATTTTTTCTAGAACGAGACTAAACTTTTTTAAAGGAGGTTTAACAACAAAAGGCAGTGAGAAGTTTTCAAAATCAATGAAGAGAGATTTGGCCGGTTTATGCATGAAACTGTAGTCAAGCAGAGATTTGCATTGACTGGGTTTCGAATGGTTCTAATGACAAAAAATCGAGATAAGGGAATGATAGATAAAAGAGCAAAAATAAAGATAAAAGAGATAAAAGATGGGAAATTTAAACCATAAAATACAAAAAGTTAAAATACAAAGGACAAAATGTAGGCTAAATGTGGAAATACCTAAAAGGAAGTTGCATCGAAAGTGATAAATAAACGAAATTAAGAATTRCAGATTTATATAGTATTCCGATATTGATTGCAGTCCATTGGTACTAATATCTAGGCATTAACTCACTTMTTCATAAAGTAAACTTTGTAAAGCAAATATAATAAAATAAGTATAATATAACAAAATAATAAAAGGCATTTTACTGTTATAAGTTGCACAATGATWCGAGCGAGTGGATCTTCGTAGAAACAGAACAAGTGGCACAAAGGAACGATAATAGTCTCGTTTTTCAATGAAGGAAGGCGCTCGTGACACGTTTTCGTTTAAGATCTCAGTTTTATTACCGTAAAGAGGTATTACGAATATAAAAAAATACAAATATATTAGGACAAGAAATAACGATATTTGGTAATAACTTGAACGTGAATTGCACGTATCGACCTTTTTCATCAACCATTGCAGTGACAAAATACTTGAAAAATCGTTAACTGGTTTAGTGAAATAACATTAAAACTTTGATGACAAATCAAGGTAGTTTGTCTAGATAGATTAGATAGCGTTAGAAAGGATTATGAATGGTTTTAATCGCAACTTTACCATCAAATAACGAGACATTACTGCAGTTGCTCTGGTAACGATAATCGTCTTGGGTCGAAAAAAAGTCTTTTACTTATCGTTAGTTGAATATATTGCGAGCTGCTCGATCCGTTTTGACGGTGTTCATTCTGACATTGAGTCAACTCCGTTTTTCAAAGTTTATCATCCAAAATTGCCATAACTGGATGACTGTATCCATACGTATATACCGAAAACGCTACGGTGTGGTGGCGATTTTTTTAAAAACGGAATAAGAAAATAAATAAGTAAAAAATCCATAATATGGTCGTTTTTGAGTTTGGATGTTATTGTTATTATATCTGGGGGATAAATATTATATTTAATAACTAATGTTTCATCTCCGTTTCTATTCTATATTAAGCCGAGATTTTGGCCATTGCGGCCATCTTTAGGGTTATGAAGTACACGTACAGAATCTATTAACGGGAAGCACGGTAACCATAGATATATCAAAATAACTATAACATTTTAAAATGTTAAAAGATTCTTTGTGCCATTTAGGCGCGAGGAGGACAGGTTTGAAATGTTAAAATCATTGCATTCAGGTTTCATGTTTAAATTGAAAATACTCTTCATGATGTTGTCAGGTCTCTGAACTCTTCAGTGCTTTTTTATTGCTTTTGTAATTTCAGGTAAAGTCCGACACAATTTTTTTTTTTTTTTAAATATTGAAGTATCGTACTGTTCTTAGGCCCTGGCTAAACGAGGAAACATGTTTCCAGAAACATTTCCAGAAACATGTTTTCTTAAATGTTTCCAAAGGTGGCAAAACTGTCAGGGAACATCGGGAAACATGTTTGCTCAACATCGGTTAGCGCATACGCACTTTCAAGATAGAGCTAGCGTTGCTAAGTAACAAACTTTTAGAATGTTGACTTTCGTGGCTAAACAAAGAAACATTGGGAAACATTGTTTCCATGCCTCTTGGAAGCATGAAATGTTTCTGCCGCACAGCAGAAACATTTTTGCGTCTTGGTAGCAACATTTGTTGCACGTAGCAATGTTTCGCATTTGGCCATAGTTAATAGTTAATATTAACTATGATGTGGCTGAACTTGGAAAYATCGGGTAACATGCGCGCGGGAAACATGGAAACTTGTTTCCTCGTTTAGCCAGGGCCTTAGAGTGCCCACACTTAATCGTCAAGCAGTATAAGGTGAATAGTGCTCGTCAGTACTAAATATCATCGATGAAATAAACAAAGATAGACATGCATTGTACCTTATTATGTACTCATTTTGAGTACAAAAGAAATTGAGTAYTCAGATCTCCGTCGTTTAAGAGTATTTTTTTTAAATCACATGAGGTAACAATATATGGACATGTACATTTCGCGCTTGAGAAGCCATACTATTAAACTGAGGTCTACGTATACTTTTTTCTTTCGCTTTTTTTTTTTTTTTTTTTTTTTTTTTTTTTTTTTTTTTTTTTTTTTTTTTTTTTTTTTTTGCTATAATCGTATAACTAAAATCCCTTGTCCGCGATATTTGATTAATTTTTAGTTAAACTAATATACATTAATCGATCAGCTGAAATTTCTTTGCTTTACATTCTAAATACACAATGACGCGCTGTGTATATCAAGGCAGTGTCCGGTTTATCAGCTGTGTTTGATTATGGGCTTAAAGTAAAGCAAACCACAGGGCTCCCAATTTGATAAAGGTACAAGACAAAACATCCAGAAACAACTTCATTTAATTTAAAAAAAACGCTGTAACATGCAAGGTGATCTAGCCTCAAAGCACGCAAAGGATTATTTGTCCAATGGAACAGTCCCTAATACCCAGCCTCCTATTTCATAATATCTCACGGTAATCAAAATGGCGACTAGTGACTATTAAATTAAGACAAYACAGATTTTTGTTTTTTGCATTTATGCTTTGGTTTTTTAAAATTTTAATTGCTGATAGGACACGAGGAAGCTTTTGTGGTACATGTAACATAGGATATTTCAATGTATAATTATAGTTCAGGACGCCTAAAGGCTCGTCCAATTTTGAAAACTTTCAAAACATCACTCGTAAATATAAATTCCGAATAGCGATTTTCTATTTCTTGTCTGGCTACCAGACAAGCAACAACCCCGATCTAAAAGCCGAGCTAAATAAGGGTAGATCGTACGCCGATCAGAGAAACCAAACTTGCTGCGGAGAGGAGCCAGATTGTGCGCTCAAACTTTTTTTCAAGCAAACCACATAGATATCGATAGTTACCACATAATATGCAGCCACATGACCCTATAGAGTATATTCTTCGATTGCACGTTAGGTCATCGCGGCCATGTTGTACATTTTGCCATTTAACAAAATATTTCTCATCAGCATCCATTGTTAACGGCACCGCAATGGCCGCCATGTTTTTGTCTTTTGACTCCCTTGGGAATGATTGCAACCCATCCATTGGAGAAATCGTGGCAATCATTGCATTCTTGGGGTGGCATGCGATATGTATACGAATAGCCTCCATGCTCTGGCACTTTATGAGGTGGCTAAATTGGACGTGTGGTTGACTACATTTGATCTTTTTWTATGTGTGTTGTCTTTTATCATGTTATTCTCATGCAATGGAATGCGTGCTATCTACACTGCAGGGGCGGATCCAGGGGAGGGGTGCAGGGGATGCGCACCCCTCCCTGGTTCCAGTTTGTGCCCCTACTTCGAAGATAACGCATACGCTGCGCCAGTAGAATGGAACACTTTACTATCTAGTATTAGGCATATTACATCAWTACCTTCTTTTAAAGAACACTTAAAGACATATTTTTATAGAAAAGCCTTTATTTAGTTGTTTTTGCAATTCCCATCGATTAACTTAGCTTTTATGTTTCTAGTTATTGTGTATTGTTTCTGTATTCAGCGCAGATGAACATCTTGTGCTAATCTGCGCTTTATAAATGTAATTTATTATTATTATTTATTATTATAACCAATACTGCTTTTCCTTTTGATTAAGGGGTGCACCCATCTCTGGGTTAACTTAGTGCGCAGCACCCTTCCCTGGATAATCCTGGATTCGCCCCTGACTAGCCCGTCCAATATATATATATTAAAGCTATCGGTGTGAATTAATTATTACTAACTAACTAATAATACATAAGATTACTCCATTCGTGATCTAGTGTCCGTGACTTATACCAGCACAAAAGTTGTTTGATAATGATTTTAACCTTAAAAGTTTCTCGTTTTCACCTCCCCGCATACGACAAACATGACCTCGTTTTCTTGTATTCACTTAACCTTTTGCAAACCTACTCATCAAAAGCGAAATGATTTTCTACTACTTGATTTTTGCGATTCCTTTTCAAGTTGTACGTACATTTGCCGTAAACGAGAACCTTAAAAACTCCGTAATAAATAGCAGCATCGCCTATAGAGCGTTTTCACGTGACGTCACAGTGACCATTATGGGGTACCGAAACAATACATTTTCTATCCTCAGGGAATTGAACTCTATTTTTATGCAAATACTGTGCAGAAAGTTTCTATAGGTTGCTATCAATARACGTCACATCCGGTAATAGCTCTTTTTTGGTGGCTTGTAGAATACTGGAGGTTGTTTTGATCTCTTGTTTTCTGGTTTGATGTAGTGAAAATAGTCAAATACAATAGTTTGAGGACTTATTTTGATATGTTTTGACTTAGCATCCGCTAGTTGCCCCCCAGTCAACCGCTTGTTTGCCCCCCAGTCAACTCAGTCCAAAAAGTAACGTGATTGATAGTAAGCAATTGTTTATGACTGCCTTCTCAGGTGAGACAAATATAAGACAAATCAAGGTTGAGATGTCGTTTCCAGCGCGGTCTAATAAAGATCACTATACAACTTGTCGTACCCTGCCATCTACTAACCTAACGTCTTGTTTCTCTTTATATGAAATAATCAATCTTCGTAGCTTTTTACAAATCAAAATGCCACCAATGTTGGACCACAAAAACGTGCTTTAGTTTGATTAAGGTGCTGTTCTTATACGGCTCAATAAATTAGGCTAACCACGACTACGCATGATACACCAACACATGTGTTTAAAAATAAACTTACTATTGATCAGTATCATCTAAAATTAGTATGATATCTAAACTTTATGTTGTAAACGCTTGTGCGTTCAATCCTTTGTTATGGCAGTCAGGTTTGGGCACCGCAATCAAGCTCGCGGGCTATCCTACTCCTCAAACGTGTCCAGCGCCGTGCCACAAAATTTATTCTCAGGTACCAATCAGATCTATCTTACGTACAAAGACAGGCTTGTCAAACTCAACCTACTCCCACTGTCTTACTGGTGTGAGTATTTAGTAGATCTCCTGTGTTTTTTCAAATGTCGCTTTAAGGTTAATAATATTGATCTATCTAGTTATGTTACCCCATGCTCGCTTTCATTCAGATCTACTAGAAGTACTTTCAGTACAGACTAWAGGGTTAATTCATGAAAACATCTACCTACAGGGATTCCTTTTTCAATCGCATTGTTTTCTTGTGGAACTCGCTGCCCTGTATGATTGAGTCTTCTAATTCAGTTTCGTGTTTTTTAAAAAACACTGCTGCGATCTCACTATCCTTCTCTCTTGCTTTCCGCTTTTGACCCTGATGGTATCAGATCTTATAATATTTAACCGTTTGCTCCAAATGCCGATCCACTAATATCTCTGCCGTTTGCTGTCTCTGACGCCTCTAGTATATATTTATAGTTTTAGCTTTACTTCCAATTTATATTTTTATGTATTTTTGTCTAAATGTAGTTTATATGTACATGTATCWTGTCTCAGTCTTTTCCCAGCCTGTGCAGTGTTACTAAAAAAACAACTGTGGCGTCACTCGATTTCTTTAGGCATAATCGACCAATAACCTAAGTATCTTCGCCTTCGCAGTTCGTGTGGAAAAATGTTCGAAACCGCATCCTGGAAATTCATGAGTAATGAGTCATGAGTAATGAAACCAAAAAGTTTGCATTAARATAAAACTATCTGTATAAATTCATCTAGACTAAATCCCTACCTGGAGTTTAAAAAACAATTTAAAAAATTAAAATGTTTCAATGTTCAAGAGAATTTGATACCCAGATTTGAGTGCAATTAGTGCAGAGTAAGTAGTACGTCTACATCTGTACNATCTGAGAATCAATCACGGGCTTGCTAATAGATTTCCAGGCAGGATTGTGTTTTTTTTGCGGGTTTCTTGGTTGCAACAGTAACCACAGTGAAAAACGAAACTTATACAGGGGCTTAGTCATTTCCTTTCTTCCTCCCTTCTTTTCTTTCGTTCATTCTTTTTTTTTTCTTCTTTTTTGTTTTTTCCCCTCCATCTACTCTCTTTCTTCCTTTCGTTTCTCCATTTTTCTTTCTTTCGTACTTCTTATTCCATAAATTATTCCGTCCTGCACTTCGTGACTGAGGCTAATCCGGTGCTAATTTCGCTACTTCTCCTAACACTTTGTTTTGAATTTGGCAACAGAACATTGGCCAATTCTAATGACACTTATAATAACATTCAAATTAAATAAGTTCCTGATGTATTTTATTTTCATTAGCTTAGACATGTAAGTCTAAAAATCAGCATGTGATTTGAGATATATGCCATATGCATAGAATATTACATGATATTAAACAACACCGTACTCAATTTCCCGTGTATTAGGACTATTTTTTRAGTGTAACTACATAGACGTTATTGCACTCAGTGCTAGCTGTGTATTACAGCGGCTGTGCCGGAAAATCCTACTCGTGAAGCTGTATTTGTTCCCGCCCGCCTGCGAAGTTCGAAAAAATACGGCCGCTTTCCTTGCTCGTAAAATTATCCGACGGTCATACACAGCTAGCAGTGTATAATAATATCCTCTATTTATTAAATGTTAGTGAGTGAGAAAAAGATTAAGCCAAAGTTGGAAACCAGTATTTATATTGAATTTTTTCTACCATAAACTATAGATAGCAAAAAAAAAAAAAAAAATTTTAAAGATTTTAATTACTATTTTATATTATACTATTTGTACCAGACTTTTAGTAATTTAAAGCGGAAAATGAAGCAAGCCTACTGCTACAAATTTTCCTTGGATAGCAGAAATTTAATCGACTCATACATTATTAAAACCTAAGAAGCAGAAAATTTGCAATCAGATAACTTACGTTACCGATAACCTAACGAGGTACTTAGACACAAATAAGACAAAATAGTATATGTTCCGCAAGACAATTTAACGCAAAACTCGGACTAAATCCGCAGAAACTTCGATGGCAAGTGCTTCGAAGAGGAAAATACTTGAAATTAAAAGTTTGAAGTAAACAAAAAGAAGAAATAGCGGGTGGAGAAACCTTCGCGCCGGTGCCCCACTGAATGTGTCGACAGCTATTTATTCTTTTAATTATAAACTAATAATCTAAGAAAAAGGGGTGTTGACAAAAAAAAGATAAGAGGCCTAAGAATTCGTATTTGTAGAAAATAAAATGTTATGATAAAACGTCTTTCGTTTTATCCTTATTATATTGGGTTTAGTAAGCGATTTTATAGAACGTGTTTTCAGTTATTCAAAAAAAGGTTTCTTAGTATTAGTCCATCACTACGTGACTAAATGGTTCGAGTGATATTATGCATTCTCTTTCATATTTTATTTATCGCTTTTTCGCTTGAAGCATTTTAAATTTTGAATTCAAAAGTTTTTTCTAGACAAATGAATAAATCATATATGAAAATCATGAATTTTGTCTAGTCATTGCACCGAAGTCACAGTGCTTTTTACTTAATCTTTCTTCCTTTTTATTCTCCTCTTTCATTCGTTTAGTGATTGCCTTAGCTGAAATAGACAGTTGGTTGCTACGGTAGTTTAAAATTCAAAAAATTAAAGTGAAACTAGACCCCCTAAGTCTGTACTAATAGAGGAAAAGATCTGAGTATTGTAGCCTTCTCAAAAGAAAAAACTAAAGAAAAATAATAATAATTGGAAAAAGCCAGACTGAAATAAGGAAAAAAATTTTTTATAACAGTAAGAAACGATTTCTTTCTTTTAATTATAACCGTAAGAGACATTCTATACTAGGTATGAAGAGGACGGTTTAATTTGCATTTATTGTCTTTAGGAGATTGTCTAATATAAACACCGACAATCAATGAGGGTCAACTCAAATGTGGAAGGGTGATTAAATAGGAAATAATAAGCCATGCGGTAAATTCTCGTATAGGGTACACCTGAAATTGCATTAATGTCAACTCGAAATGCTCACTGCCAAGGTTGACTGATAAGCAAGATACGAGTCTTTAGCTCCAGATAAACGCTATAATAGCCATTCGTCGAACCATTCATCGTGTCTTTCGCTCAGAGCTGACAATCTTTACTAGTCGACTGTCTATATAGGAACTGTGGCAATGGATGCCGTGATCCATCTATAGTTTAAATGTTCGGGCTGGCTAATAAATTTTCACCTAGAAATCGTCTTGACTGAATGATCATATTAGAGGCGGGAGAGTCTTCTTCACAAACGTTTGTCAATATGAATCTAAAGGGTCTAGATGTTCACATCAAGACATTGCCTGATAACGAGAAGGTTCGAAGAGCGAACAGAATCGCTGTGAACGATCAAGGTGGGAAAACTTCAGAATGGCAGTCTGGTATATTCAACCTCAAGATTAAATAATATTGAACAAGTGATAATGAATGAGGAATAAAAGGAAAAGAGTATGACGTGCTTTTTAGCTCTCTGAGTTAGGATTCCTTGACAAAGATTTACGTTTACGATTTTTGCTAATTTGTTTTTTATTTTTTTATTTTCTTTCTTTCTTTTTGTGATTCTGAAACCGTTCAAGAACAAGTTCAATGAATTCCCTGATACTTTGAATACTAAGCTAATTTTGGTTTTTTTTTCAAAGAAACAGAACAATTATTGCGAGTATTTTACAAATTATTTTCTTCTTCTTCTCTTTTTGTAGGTATTTTCAGACAGTTGGAGAAACTCAATACTCCTTTGGCGGGAAAATGGCGAGCGGCCGCGCTGTCCATCTCGTTTTGTTCCATTATTGTAAACATAAGCCTTGGGGTAATTTACTTTGGTAAGTATAACGAGAAAAGCACAAAAGAGCCTTTTTTTAAACAGAAAAAGCTGTTTTGTTTGTGTTTGCATCCCAACCGTCTTTGATTCAGTCGACAGCTGGTTTGTTATTCGACTTTTTTTTTTTTTGCGTTCAAATACACAAAAGACAGCAATGAAATCGACGGAAAATGCAATGTCCATTTTCATATGTTTCAATCTTCAGCCGGCTAAGTACTTTAAACATCTCGTCTCTTGAGTCAACTTTTTTTTTWAAAAAGCTGAATAAACCAAACAAAAGAGTAAAACTTTATGGCGGAAATCACAATGTAAAACTGTTGAAAAAGAAATTATTATTTTTTTGCTCAAACTAAATTTATTTGTACAGCCGCATCCTTTTCTGACATTTGTGTTAGTAATGTCAAAATGATGATGTTAACAGCGGATAATTCTTCTTTTCAAGAGAGCTTCCTAGTTCTTAGTATTTATCTATATTGGTTCTCTAAGCATCGTACAGACAACTAAGCTATCCTAGGAGCTTAAGGTTTGATTTAACCGTAATTCATAGTTCGGCGCTTAATTAAGAATCAACGTTACTGTATGGATAACCTTCCAATCCCTTTCAATGTTAAAATTCTAACCACAATTCATGCCTTTTTTGTGTGTGTGTGCGTGACATCTGTGACATCATGCAAGTTTTAAAAATAAAAATATTTTATTTTAAAATAAAATCAAAAAAACTGTATTTCAGGCTTTAAGATATTTTTTAAAAATAGATTTTTATAGAGAATCGACTTGCGTTCCAAGCTTGCGTGATGTCTGACTTTTCAAAGCATTTTATTTTCATTTTTGCTTCGGTAATTTTGATTAATTTCGATTAATAGAAAGTTTCCTTTCTAGAGTTTTTTCAACGAGTTTCGAGACAATGGATCACAGCGTCATTTCTATTACTTTCTTTTTTTTTTCTTTTTTTTTTTTTTTTTTTTTTTTTCTTTTTCCTTTGGCTTTTTCTTCTTTTTTTTTTCCTTTTCTTTTTAGCGTCATTTGTTCTGAAATCCTCTCCGGTCATTATCGTAATCATAGTTACGGAAGCATGAATAATATTATAATCGATAAACCCTTCTTGCCCAATTAAAAATTCATTTTCTTTTTAAGAAGTAAGCCGGATTATTTGAAATAAATTCTGTTATTTAGACGTATATAACTACGTCCCTCAAGTGGTATTTTCAAATGTTAGTATACAATTCAAAAGGTTACCTTTGCGAATCCACATCAATATTATATTTCAATTCATTACACATCGAAGGACTGCAGAACCATTAAAACTTCGATTCTATAAATCTCCGTGAAATGATTTTCAATCGATTTTCAATCTCCGAGTACTACTATACGCGCCTATCAACGCTTATTCGGAAGTTTCTTGAGATTTACCTTGAGGGCGTTTTTGAATATAGAATTTTTGTTTTAATTTAATAAGGCAGAGTTCTATAATTAATGGACATAAAACAAGCACGCATGTCTCTGTTTTGTAATATAAACACGCTGGGAGCTGTGTTTGATAGCCAACCAATCAGCGCTCATTAAATATTTTATAAAATACATGCAGGAAAACTATCAACATAACAGGATTTTTTTTCAATAAAGGTAAGCTCACTTCAAATTAATCTTAGATGACTCAGTTATATTGTTGATGTTGTTTTTTCTAGTGCTTTCGTACTTGGCTTGGAGTCCAGCAGCTTTTGGCTTTGCGGTGAGTCTAACGGTTTGCTTTCCCTTTTTTAAATGGAAAGAAAGCGCTTAATTCTTCAAGGCGGACGCAGGAAAAAAATGCGATATCCGCAATTATACTTCGCTATCTGCTCGAGATGAGATCACAGATTTAACTTGTGTCGATCCGCAGTACTTTTGTGATGGAGTTCCGACGTACACACACGACAAGATGGCCGATTGAATGATAAGATCAGCTAAGATCAATGTACTACATATACCATAATCCATTGCACGCACGTCCTCTTTTTGTACAACATTCGTACTTACTATCGTAATGAAGCAATTCACGAAGCTAGTCTTAGTTGTAGGGGTCCAAAATTACATCAATTTTTTCTTAAAATACATATATACATACATATTTTATTGAAGCTCCCTTTGACAGGGCTTTTCAGCCACAATATAATAGAAATAAAGTATAAAATAATTTACAATCCATTAAAACTATATGCATATAATATAATTATCAATGACTATATAGGAACACTTGACTAATCGAAATCTATAAAGATAATCTATAAAAACTACTAATACTAATCTAATCTTTATCAAATATCCTTTTAAGAAGAATTTTGGCGTGTAAATGGAAAGTCACATTGTTTTAAATTTATCATTGCTATAGTTGTAATGTTTTCCCATTTCAGACCATGTGGCATACATTCCCTCATTTGAGATTCCCTTGATAAGATTCTTTGTTTGAGTCTCATTCATATTAATAATATACCTACTCGATTTGTGCTATTAATCAGACGAAAATTCCCAAAGAATGACATTTATTTTGAAACGAGACAACTAAGTTGATCTTGTATCACGCCAAAGTATTTCTGGAAACCTAGATCTACTCTCATGGCAGTACAACTCAAATCCGACTCAAATCCGATACTCGACTTCTGCCTGATAATAGAGGAAGTTAATTAACGCTTAATCACTTATATAAGGAAAACATACATTTCCTAATGGCCGTTTTTAAAGTGGCTCCCTACTCTACTCAGACACACACGATAACATTTTGTCACGTAAAATATATTCTACTTCCCCGAGACGGGTGGAAATTTATATTTTTTAATTTGCCCTACGGGAAGTACTGAAAAACTAACTAATAAAAGATAATGAAAAGAAAGCCATAGTTTTGGGTATCAAAAGGTGAAGAAAACAACGAATAAGTAATGGTTATTTTAGTTCCAATATGGCTCAGACGACGTCACATCAACAAGAATAGTATTATGACGTCATTTGTTGGCATTGAGGTGCATTTTGGTTGGGGGACGAAATAGACGCCATCTTAGAAATATGTTCCCTAAACATTCCCACAATGCACTGTAATGACAACTCCACCAAGACAATATGCATCATGCTTGCTATAATTTAGGGCCAAGTAAAATAACTCTAACTTTAGAAAAATATAAGTATAACATTCCCCTTGGTAATGTTTGAAAAAAACATAATACGTCCGTTGATAAAACAGACAACACCAAGGCTCAGGTCAAACAAAGAATTTCATTCAAATGAGCCGAACCTATTTGAACAAAGGATTACGAAGCGGTTGTCTTTTCTCAGCTGCCGCCCCCGCTCTCTGGAACAAAATTCCTCAAGAGATAAGAGCCTTGAGCTCACTTAATTTGTTTAAATCTAAATTAAAAACTTATCTATTTCGTAAATATTATTATTTATAGTTTTTACCTAGCAAATCATTTTATTCCATGTATTATATTATCTTTTTTTAAGAAATTGTAATATTATATATAGTTGTAAACCTGTCATTTTTAGTGTAATTTCTTTCTTCTATTGTAAAGTATTGAAACTTGTTAAATACTCAATAAATTAT